CGCGTGTTGCCAATTGAACACGACGCGGGTTGAAAGTTCGTTTCTTTGGAACCGATTTTCGAGTTTGGCTTTCGTTGTACTCCACCCCCCCCCCCCCGCAACCTTCGATTATCGCAGTCGGCTAGATACGGTGCTCAAGAAGTTCATCGTACGTACCGTAAACCATTGCGAAACATTTTAGTTTGGCTTTTTTTTCACGACCGGCTACGGCTAACCATCAGCGCCCGAGCGGGTCGTGGATGGGGATGCGTTTGCGACGACTGCATCAAATAAGGTTTTTTTTTTTAAACATGTATAAAACTTTCCGGCCCACTGCCGCGGTTGTAAATTCGTTGCGGTCAGCGGCACCACGGCGCTCGCGATGACGCTGAAGGTCGCGGGCTCGATTCAATCTCCTGGCGCGGCAGTCGAAACGACGCTCCGAGAGAAATTTGAGCCGCCAAAGCCCATCTCTGTCCACCCAGCGGTACGGATTTGCTTGGCGGCCGGGGTTAAATCGATCGACGGTTCACGCGCGGTGGGGGGTGGGGGGGCATCGAAACCACGTACAACACCTCGAGCCGGGCTCTCCGAAGATTCCTCGAGCGGAGGGCCCCCCTCGGCCAGCAGTGGATTGTGCAAAGGTATTGCAGGGATTGCGCCTTCATCATTCATTACCCACAGTCCAGAGAGCAGTCGAGTAGCAGCCAATCACAGTTGGCACGTTACTGGCGTTTTTTTAAACCTTCATAACTGTTCACAGATCGCGCCTTTCCAAATTTTTTAATAAAAAAAAAACAATGTATGCTCTCGCGGTTTCAAAAACCCAATAATAAACAAAAATGTACCGTACCAATGCATTGAACGAACGCACGCACGCAAATAAAGAATTACATAGTGTTTTTGCTTAAATTATTCGAAGCTGCAAGATTAAAATAATGTACAAAAGAAACGTCTACTTTTGAAAACCACCAAAAAACGCACAATAGTTAAAAAAGTTTAGTTTTGTTAAATGAGAGGGCAAAATGGTAATATATTGTATTATAAGTACAGTATATTCCATGTAAATGTGTGTGTGTGTGCTGTGTAATATTGGCTCAATAGGGGGTGCAGGTGGTGCATCTGCCATTCATCTCAGTCAAGTCAACCCATGCCATCACCCGGGTCTGTCCCGTGACCGTCACCTCCTCCTGCACCTAGCCTGGCACAGCAGTCAATCCATGACACCAGGGTCCGTGCTATGACCTCCTCCTGCGCCTAGCCTGGCACAGCAGTCAACCCATGGCACCAGGGTTTGTGCTATGACCTCCTCCTGCACCTAGTCTGGCACACCAGTCAACCCATGGCACCCGGGTCTATCCCGTGACCTCCTCCTCCACCTAGCCTGGCACAGCAGTCAACCCATGGCACCCGGGTCAGTCCCGTGACCGTGACCTCCTGCACCTAGCCTGGCACAGCAGTCAACCCATGGCACCCGGGTCAGTCCCGTGACCTCCTATCAGCGAACCTTTGGGCACTTCATGCGACGGGCAGCCGCAACATGCACCTAGCCTGGCGCAAGCGCCGTGGTGTGGTCGCCGCCCCTTAGTGGCGAACGGCGGGTTGCCGTGTAACGTTTGGCTAAAAATTTTAGACGCGCGTGATTGGTGGGTGGTTTTTTTCTTTCAGCTTCACCAAAAACAATCGGACATTATCCTTGTACAAAAGAAACGTCATGTAGGTGGCAGCTGGCCACGTTATCAATGCCTCCCCACAGTCGCACGACGGGCACACGTCGTCCGCGAAATGTTCTCGGTTATGACAAAATCAACAAGGGGAAAGACACGCCATGGCAATTACAAAAACAACAAAACACAATTGACACTCTCGCCTTTTCCCTACGCCCCCCCCCCCCCAAAAAAAAAAAACAACTCGAACCTCTTCAATCCGACGCTGGGCCAGACAGCAGAGAGAATATTATATTTTTCTCTTCTTAAACGGCGCGTACAAGAGGAGCTCCGGCACGGCCGTATTTTCACGAGGGTTTTACGATGCACCCCCTGGGCCGTCGCCGATGGAGTTAACGCCTTAACATTTGGAATTGTCTTGTACGCATGGCCCCCTGTAAAATCGGCTTTGTTTATCGCAAAGGCCTTAAAAAAAAACGCCATCGCAATCGGGGGGGGGGGGGGGGATGCAGCGACCCACCGTGACCACGTAACAAAAAAAATGGGCCTCACATCCTTTCGTAATTAATCGACCGGCTTGATGACGCCAACATCCACGTCAAGCCCAAATCATGAGCCAGAAGCTTCGCGCTGATTCCGCACACATTCTGCGGTGGGACTCAGCGGCCAAAGCAGCAACGGGTGCGCGCGGTCGTACACGCACGCCGGCCGCTCTGAGACAGCGGTGCCAATTCCACATCATCATGGCGTGGTGGGGGGGCCCAGTCTGTCCGTAACGCGACTGCTGCTGGCTTCCCACAAAGCGGCACTCGTTTTAGACGGCGGAGGGATGGACGGGTGGGGGCTGCGTCGACCCCCGACGACCAGGATTTGAACTTGTGACCTTCCGAGTTGCGACCGGAAGGTTGCAGTGCTCTTCATTTATTAGGGGGGGGGGGAGGGGGGTTTGTCATTTTCGCCGAGCGTCGACCCAAACGTGGTGTCGGCGTCGCACGTCGCGAGACGCAACGAACTCTGCTGACCTGCAACCCCCACGCCAACCGAATGACGAGAGACCTGGCCACAAATCGGCCATCGCTTGTGGTTTGTTGTTCACCTTTCCTATACTCTGCGCTCCCATCGTGTCTTCGTACTGCATCTGTTGTTGCGACGTTCTGACCCGACCCGACCGGACAGCTGTGAAAAAACGAGCTTTACAGCTCATCGGATTCCTCCAGCCTACAAAAACATTCTGATCCTCGGCGAACAGGGGCCAGCCGCGACCGCCCCAATTTGTCCGTGCCGTCGCCCCGCGACCACGGCCGGAGGCCACCGTGGCGTGCCGACGGTGCCACGGCCACGCCTCAGGGGGCACGGGTTTGCCCTCGGGTAGGCGATCGACGCTTCGACGCCGTGGCCGCGCGTCCACGGGGCGGACATCGACGGAGGTGGAAACGGCGGAGACTTATCCCCGGAACCTCGACCAAACCGAGGGCGCTTGGCAGTGAAAACGATCTCCTCCTCCTCCTTCCGTGGGAACTTCGTCGTCCGCTTGTTTCGTCCGTCCCTAACAGTACTCCCAGCTAGTTTTGTTTTCCTTTTAAAGGTTATATATTTATATATTTACTTTTTTTTTTTGCTTTGGGAATGGCTTAATGTACTAAAAAAAAACGTGCAAAACGATAAACGAAATGAAAGCATCCGCGGGGATAGGCGGGGGGAGGGGGGGTGTGTGGGGCTTCACAGAAGTTTCTCCGCTTTTCCCCGGAGGAGGGGAGCACGGCGGTAGGGCCCCCCCCCACCCACTTACGAAATATCGCCTCGGTTCGACGACATAGCGCACAGACGAGAAAGCGACATTAATGGTAACCCCCACCCCACCGCCTCCTTTCTAAAAAAGACCCCAAAAAAACCGACGGCGGTTTTAAAAATGCCGAACAACATCCACCGCCAACCCAAAGCCCGGCCTCGTCCACTTTCCGGCGAGGCTTTTCCTCGGGTTTTTTTTTTAAATTCTTCGCCAATTTAAAAAAAAAAAAACGTTTCCGCGCGACGCGGGCGTCTTTCAAGATTTACGGCCGCGCCAGGCCAAATCCAGTTCGGTGGACGCAAAAAGCCCGAGCGAGATCGCGCTCGTCATTACACACACACACAAAGTGCTCGTCATCACAAATTAACCACAATATAACACCCCTTGCCGATATCGGCAAAGGGGCGTAAACCATCATCGCGCGAGCTTCGGTCGAACCGCGCTTCTGCGGCCGTCTGGAACGCTCTTCCTTCCGATATTAGGAAGCCACCGGAGCATCTTCTAGATTGAAAACTCGTTTCTTTAGAACTGCTTCTTTGCTGTGTTCAGTTTGTCCTTCCCCCCGCACCTGCAATTGTCCACGGTTGGCTAACGGCGTACGGTGTAAAAGAAGTTCAACGTGCGTACACAGACATATGTGGGTGGGCGGTGGGCGTGAGGGACGCGGAATCAGCGAGTTATTTTTTCTTGAAGTCGTGTATATCTACACGACTTGGCGAGCGCCCCCCTCCCACAATCCACCGCGGTTTTTTTGCTCCATTCTTTTTATTCCGCCCCCCCCACCCCGCCCCGCCCCGCCCCACTCCTCTCCCACCGTGGAACCGTTGCCATGGTAACAATCACAGCGAAGTTCCCGCAAAGATGGCCGCCGGGAGAAAAAAAATTAAGAAAACAAACGTACAGCAAGTGGTAACCAAGTCACGTGACCCGTACACGGGCGCGCGCGGCCGCGATTGGCTGGCACCTGGGCGACGCGTTCACGAGCCAAGCGACGGGGCCACGTTACGATCATCACGGTAAAAAAGGGGGCGGCGGGGGGGGGGGGAAACGAACAAGATTCGCGCAAACTCCCGTCGTTCGCCGGAAAAGAAAAATCGAAGGGGGGACGCGGGTGACTTCAAGGTGCTCCCGCCGTGGTATCGCCCTCTGGTGGTCGAACCCCTGGAGTTCCCACCCCCCCCACCCACCCACCCACTACACCCCCCCCACCCAGCTCCGCTCGCGAGGTCGGAGCAACGTGACCCGCCCCCCCCCCCCCCCTTTTGGCGACGTCCCAACTCGCGCTTGCGCTTTTGTCGGCGCCGTAGCGCGGTAAAGTCGGACGCCCGACCAAAAGCTTCAGCTTTAACTTCTTTTAAATCACCGATCAGCCCACGTATGGAGGATAGACAGGCGTGGCAGCTCCTCTAAGGGGGGGGGGAGGGGGGGGCGGGGCTATTTGAAGCCCGCAGTCGTAACTGGCCGAGCGCCCTCCGGCATTCAAATTTGCGTGGTTGCCATTTCCAGTTTACTTTAACCTCTTTAATATATATGTGTGTGTGTGTGTAAAAATGTGTTTTTGACGATTGCAGCTATTAATATTTACAAGAGGCCTTTTTAGCCGCAGCATCGCCGAGGAGCGTTAAAAGCGTGCCGGCAAGACGTGACGAGTGGCACCAGACTCTGATTTAGTGTCGGTGTGTGTGGTTTTTTTTTGGTTGCGTCTTCCTTTAGCCCCCCCCCCCCAACCCACCGACACCCGCCCCCCCCCACCACCGCTCAATCCTCCCCCGCCACGACAACGCTTTCTCAAGTTTCGAAGTTTACTAAACGGGGAGGGAGAGAGAGAGGGGGCGGGCGGGCGGGCGGGCTAGACAACAAATCCGTTAGGCTTCTGCGTGAAAATTAATCGAGAGGCCGAGTGGTGTCGAACCGTCGTTGGGGGGGGGGGGGGGTGGATGGCCAGGATGGAGAATTAAATTCACAGCTTTTCCTTCGAAGGCACCCAGATGAATGGTCCCGACTGCTCTTCGATAATCTGCTTCCCCTGGCTGTAGATCTCTTCCAAGGTGTCGCCCTGAATGACCGCTGCGACGAGAGAGGGGGGGAGGGAGGAGAAGAAGAAGAACACCACCATCAGAATCTTTTTTTTGTTGTTGCAGCAGGAAGGAAGGAAGGAATCCGAGAAGCCACGAGGCTCTTGTTCACCACGGGGACGTCCAGTTCGGGGCGGGCCAGCGAGCAAACAACGGCAAACAATGGCTCTCATCTTCCGGAAGGATGGTCCCCAAGAGGCGATTCGCGGAGAGCCAAAGTCGCGGAGACAGCAAGTTCGCGAATAACAAGGGAATGCGGTACACGTTTGTCCGTCTGTTACGGCGGGTTTTTGACCATACTTCACCAAGTTAACACAGAACGTACTTTGGTGCGAGTCGGTGAGTCGGTGCGAGGTGTGGGCCTGGGTTCAGATGTGGCTCGCCACGGATGTTAGCCGTGACTGGGAATTGAACTCGGGCTGCCGGGTACCTAGTGCAGCGCACTAACTAAAAGGGAAATGAGGGGTCGGTTGGGAGACCGTTAATGGAGAGCTAACAGTGGCGAGATGTTAACTCCCTCGCTTGGTATACAGGAGGTCGTGGTTTCGATCCCAACCCTGACGTCTATTTATTAGGAGTTTGCGTGTCTCTCTCTCTCTCCCCGTGGTCGCGTGGATTTTCCTACAGGTCCTCCGGTTTTTCCCTCCACATTTAGAATCCACATGATGCGTTTAGAGTATTTGGCTGCTATACATTTTCACAAGATGATGATGATAATAGGCTCACTTCGTTGAACTATCATTTGTGAAAGCCAGCTCGCTTATGAAAAAAAGGTCTATATAGCTCAGTGAGCAGATCCTGGTAAAAAAAAATTATATTAACTGCCGCACCATCCCGTAATACATCCAGGCCCCTCGTGTCAATCCAGGAGGAATCGTGCATGACACCCCAGGGACCACATTTAATCACGGGCGGCTGACAGGTTTTCAACTCGGGAATCTCAGCGGTGCCAGGCTCAGATCTACGATTAAGCTGCGGTCTCTCAGGCGTAAATGAGAGTTTGCAATAAATAACAAGCACAACAATAATAATATGAATAATATTGGTGCTAGGAACCTCTTCTGCCGGCCGCTCAACGGCAGCACACGCTGGGGGATGAAACTGGCTTACGACGTCGATAGAAACTGAAATACATTTTGAATGGAAAACACCCAACGCCGTGTGTGTTTTTTTATAAATGTATATATTTCAAACATGAAAGACGAATCCCGCTGTACACTAATAGCAATAATACAAAACATCAATTCACATTTAAATGCCGAGGCTTCCAGTAAGCTTTCGTATCCAGTATAGGTCAGATATTCTGGTCTATAAAGCTCTGCATGGTCTTGGATCAATGTGCCTGCGGGCCTGACTGATCTTCCATACAACTGGGGTTGATTTCTCTACTCTCCGCAGGACAGGCCCTACCACTCTCCCCAGCCTTCTCAAGCATTGCCCCAAGAGTTACTATTTTCTCATGGCTTTTGCTTAAACATTATTTTCATTGCCTTTGCAATTTATTTGATTGTAGAATGTTTTGATATCTTCCCCCCACTTGGCTAGAGGTGCTATTGCATTGAAAATAAGAAAAAAGGCCGCAAAAAAATATGATAAAATGTTGCATAACATCATTCACGTGATGGATCATGTCTTACTTTTTCATGAATATTTGTCTTTAAAGGGCGCTGGACATTTCTAGCCGTGGTAAGAGGGGCCCTCGCGCGATCATCGGCTTTTCATGATCGCGAAACAAAAATCTCAAAGCTCTTCACGGGGGTTCAATTCATGATGCATGCGATCGCGCATCGGCCTAACCATTAAAATTCCCCGCGCTTTTATTTCGTTCAAATAAATTGTCGGCATCGGTCCCGCTTTGAAATGCATTTAAAACTGACACGCGCTAATTCTCAACAGCCCCTTCAACCACGACGAATATTCCGCTTACTGTCGTCGTTGTGCACTCGCTAATTTTCCGACTCGCAAACATCGTTCGCTGGGAGGACGGCACTAAATTTGCCCATCAGTAAACTCACTCACTCGTGTTTTCGCAAAGGCCCCAAACGTCTCCCCTTTCAGTCTATTCGCTCCTCCCCCCCACCCCCCCACCCCGAGATCCATCATTGTCATCGCAGCTGGCACAGCCAGCGGTTGACCAATTTTTTCCCATTTCACACGAACGTTGCAAGCAATCCCTTTCGATCTATTTGTCGTGTTATCTGTTTCCCTTTTTTTTTTACACGCTACGAAGCGGCGGAGGGTGGGGAACAATTAGTATTCTTTTCCATTTAAGGCCAACACAGTTGACATTGACGAATGCGTTGAGTTTTGTCGCTGGGATTCTGCCAGTCTGTTGTTAATTTTGCTTGTACTCCACTGCCAACGCAGCATAACCAGGAAATGTTGTGTTTTCCTGTACGCTGAGCCGCAACGAACAAACACCCACTCACACGTCTCGCCAACCCCCAAACTGGCAACAACGCTGGCACCTCCTGCCCTGGTGACACTTGAGGCTCCTTAGGATCCGATTGGCCCGCCCCCTTGCAGTGACCCTGTTTGTCACGTGTGTGACAAAAACACGCGTGACCTTTCCCTGTCTCCTGTGCTTAGTTCCCGGTCCACTGGGGCGTAGCAGCGGCGAGATGTTCACTACCTCGTCTGGTATGCAGGAGGTCGTGGATTCGATCCCAATCCCGACGACGCCTTGCTGTACATTTGGAGTTTGCGTGTCTCTCTCTCTCTCCTCGTGGTCGCGTGGATGCCTCCGGTTATTTCCTCCACATTTAGAATCGACGTGCGTTCAGAGTATTTGGCTGCTATAAACATTTTAGCAGGTTGGGCCCACTGAGCTACGAAATAGCTCTTTTTCAGAAGCGACCTGACTATCACAAATGATATCTCAACTGAAGTCGCTTATCACGTGGATATTTACAGCGGACAAATACTCTAAACACGTTAACATCGATTCTAAATGTGAAGGGGGAAAACCGGAGGACCCGGAGAAAAATCCACACAACCACAGGGGGGAGAGAGCGAGAGAGAGACACACAAACTCCAAATATACAGCAGCAGCAGGCGTCAGGGTCGAGGTCGAACCAACGACATCCTGTACACCAGGCGAGGTAGTCAACATCTCCTAGCCACCGTGATGATGATGAGAGAGAGACATGCAAACTCCAAATATACAGCAGCAGCAGGCGTCAGGGTCGGGATCGAACCCACGATCTCCTCTATACCAGGCGAGGTAGTTAACATCTCCTAGCCACCGTGGCGCCCCTGAAATGCGTTTAATGATGAGAATGCCGACCCACCTGTGAAATACTCCCCAAACTCCTGCTCAAGCTTCAGCGCTCGGTCGTACATCTTCTTCGCTTGCTCGTCCGTCAGCCTCTTGTTCATTTCACTGTTGGAACAACAACAACAAAGTCGTCATCCGGCTGGAAGTGAAAATATTCATGAACCCCCTTCCCGTCCCGAGACGTCAGCAAGCTGCAGGGCGTGGATGGGTGTCCCATTCGCGGCTGAATCTCGGAACTGAATCACTTATTTAGAGAGGCATATTAGCAGCGTCGTTGTTTTTTAAGACATTGTCACTCGCAGCAGAGAACCGTACTGATGTACTAGTTCCGAATTGGTATGTTTTCTTTTCGTGACAAACCTTACTAATCGTCTGTGTCTGGTGATGGTGGCAGGTGTAACGGCACTTTCATATTCCCAAAAAATATATTTTAGATAATAGTGTCATTTATAATAATTAAAAAAATTATTATTAAATTGTAATAATGTTACAGCAATTCCGGTCGTGACGTTGCTCCGGAGACCGGTAGAGATCGGCGATCGTTGACCGCATTTCGCAGCGGACTTCGCAACCGACAGACAACGGCGAGGCCGCGCTTAAGATGGCCGCCTGCTGCCGCCACCTTCCGCTCAACATCTCAATGCAAGGGCCGGCTCCCAGCGTTGCAGGTTGGCCGCTTGACGACAAAACAACGAAGCCCCACCCCTCCCACGACTGACACGACCGCGGTGGGGGGGGGGGCAAGTCATCCGGCAGTGGATTGATAAAAAGGCCGTGGATTATTACGGCAAGCGGATGATGGGGGCGTTGGGTTGGGGGGGAGAGGCGGGTGGTGTCGGGGGGGGGGGGGGGGGGGACGTTGATCCCTAGGCACGGCTTACATCACTGACGACGCCGATGTCTGAACCCCTTCCCTGAGCCGTCTTCGCCAACTTCCCACACGAGCCAGTTCGATTAAGTACGAGCAAACAACCCCCGTCGTTAACAAGGCGTTGTGGCGGCGGGGAGGGGGTGGAACTAAAGCCAGTGTCACTCGGATTCATAAAAGAGCTGCAAGTAAATCGGCTAAGTCAAAATAATTATACAATGTGGGATTGTTCTCACTTGCCTTGCCATAGTTTGCGATGGATTATTTGTTTTACACAAACGTGCAGCCACAAGGTGGAGCTGCATGTTTAGTTTGATAAACAAAAAATTAAATACTCCATCTGGCCACCGCATCCGAGCCGAAGAGGTGGTTTTTGTTTTGTAACAAAATCAACAATAATGCGTTTACAGGGACTCCCTCTCGACTTACGAACATTCGACCTTGGAACTTTCAGAGATACGAACAAACCTGTCCGTATGTCCAGTTGCCTGTTCAGACCGAGATCCACAAGTTCAACCGCCGCTCAACAAAAGGCGGCGGTGGCATCTACATCTGCAGGAGATTATACATCTTTTAGGCCATTCCACGTATTTAACGTACATGCCGTACAACGTGTTTGCAATCGACAGGAGTAAAGTTGGACTCGGACGAGCAAATCGACTTACGAAAAGGCCTCTGGAACCTAACTCCTTCGTGAGCAGAGGAGTCACTGTAATTAAGAATACAAATGTTGGGGAAGTATGGTCAAACAATAACTCGCGACCGAGACGGTGTGTGTCGAGGCCTTCTTTCATTCAGCACAAGGCTCCTCTTCTCCGGCAGTTTGCGCGTGTAATTAGCGCGTGTTAATACGCTCGCCAACGCAATCAACGCATTTAATCGCGGGTGAAAATAAATGCAAATTAAATCATGAATCATTCACGTAGCGGGTGCAGACGATTAGCGCACGGGTGGTGGCGGAGGTGATTTGCGATGGGGGAGTAGAGGCGCCGCGGTTAGCGTGCCGCGCTGCGTACACTCTAGTGACCAGAGTTGGGGCGCTTGGTATGCAGGAGGTCGTGGGTTCGATCCCGATCCTTACGCCTGCTGTATATTTGAAGTTTGCCTGTCTTTCTCTCTCTCTCCCTGTGGAGATGTTAACTGCCTCGCCTGGTATCCTCCTGGATACCAGGCGGGAGGACCCGCCTGGTATCCTCCTGGATACCAGGCGGGTCCTCCCGGTTTTTCTCTCCACATTTCGAATCAACGTGCGTTTAGAGTATACATTTCCACGTGATAAGCCACTTTGTTGAGCTATCATTTGTAGCCAGGTCGCTTCTGAAAAAGAGCCTTTTGGCGTCATCTGGTCGAGCACCAATTGGGTCGAGGCTCAAAAGAAAGCCGTCCCTTGGTGTGGACCAATCAGTTTCAAGGACAATGCATATATTATCATAGTATGTTTTTTTGTTTGCATTTTGACTGCAGGTATTGTGGTTAATACAGTAAACATGAATCCTTGTAGAAAGGTTTCAGTTTTGTTGCCAGAAAAAAGGGAAAAAACCCTATTATTACATTTTGGAACTGGCAAAGGAGGTCTAATGATGAAAGACCTTTACAGCTCGGTGGGCCTTAGCGGCCACGGCTTAACAGCACTTGCGAGTGATATCCGGACCAGTTTCCACGTCCCCTTCCCCACTGCACCACCATGGACACAGCGGGCTGGGGGAGGCCTTCATCTAGCAGTAGAGAGGCAAAATAAAAAATGTTTTACACCTATCATAAATAACTCATTGAGAACAGGAGTTTGTTGTTCAACGAAGACTTGGTCTGTGCTGTTAACGAGCACCTATTAAAAGCCGGTCACGGTACACGAGGGGTGTGGGCTGGCAAGCACCACGCCTGACCACCTTTGTCTCCCCAGTGGCGATGTTTACGACCTCGCCGAGGCGCAGGAACCGGGTCGGATAAATCGTCGCCGCTGTCGGTGGCGGCGGTGGCCGCGAGCGGCGAATCAAAACTCGACTCGCCGTCTGGGTTGGTAGCGCAGCAGCGCGCTAACTACCGCGCTAACTGCCGCGCCACCGCTCCCCACGGTCATCACAACACACAACGTGGGAGAGTCACCCACGTTCACTGGCGGCGGTGGGCCACGGGGGCTCACAGCGGGTGCGGCGAGGTTCGCGGTTCGAATTCCGGCGGGCCACCCTGGTCATCATCAGCGCGCGGGCGTGCGAACCGACGCGAAGGCTGGTCGCCGTCGACGCGAGGCTGGCCGCGTGCAAACGTAACAGGGGCTTCTACTCACAGGATGGACTCCAGGGACTTGGGCTTGATGAAGATGGCGATGGGGTAGAGCTGCGCAATCTGGAGCCTCTTGATCGCATTTCCAGAAACGTCCAATATGCAGTGCTTGCCCTTCTCCAAGTTTGCAGTGGCAGACGCACACACGTGGGGGAAGAGAGAGAGAGGGCGCGGGAGTGGTGAGTACCGGTCAACCGTACGCTGGGCAGCGGCGTGCCCCCGTTGGGTCGGGTCGCGGATGAACGGAACCGAGACGTGTCTACGGCTCGACGTCAGGAGGTTCGCGTCGCGTTCGTGGTGTCGCCGCGGTGACGCGATCGCCGCATCGCCGAGTCATAATCACCGCGTCACTGCGATCAGCTCGTCGCCATGTCGCCATGATCACCGCGTCGCCACGATCACCGCGTCGTCACGATCACCACGTCGCCACGATCACCGCTTCGCCGCGTCATAACAATCACCGCGTCGCCATGTCGTCACGATCACCGCGTCGCCGCGATCACCGCGTCGCCGCGATCACCGCGTCGTCACGATCACCGCGTCGCCATGTCGTCATGATCACCGCATCGCCGCGTCATAACAATCACCGCGTCGCCGCGATCACCGCGTCGCTATGTCGTCATGATCACCGTGTCGTCGCGATCACCGCGTCGTCGCGATCACCGCGTCGCCATGATCACCGCGTCGTCGCAATCACCACGTCGTCGCGATCACCGCGTCGCCATGTCGTCATGATCACCGCGTCGCCACGATCACCGCGTCGCCACGATCACCGCGTCGCCGCTACCCGACCCCGTTATTAAAATGCTGTTCAGCGCACCGATCAAAGGGGCTCTCACGAATACAAGACGTGGTCTCGCATGTTGTTGAACCTCCTTCGCACCGTACGTAGCCAACCGTGTTAGCTTTCATCTAGCAGTGGACAGATCACAGACCGTGGCCGACGACGAAGTTCCGTCGAAAAATCCCCCTCCCCCCCAACATACGTTAATATCAAGTAATTGCCCCGCGATCGATGAAACCATAAAAATTTACAACATTTTACTCTAAAAAAAAAAACGATCAAAAGGTAACACGTCACGTTTACTTTTACCTCCGAATGCACCGAAGATGGAAGCAACCCAGCTACGCGGGGGGGCAGAAAAATGGAAAAAATGTAAACGCCGCCGTATTCAAGAAGGCACAAAGAGCACCCCCTCCGGTTTAACAACCCATCGCCCTTTGCGCGCGCCTGGTCGAGGGTGGACGAGAACGCGCGACGCGGGACGGAAAAACACCAACGCGACGCGAGAATCGCCGTTCACCCTTTTCTGGCAATACAACAGGAGGTGTGAAGAAGGTAGTTCAAACACCAAATAGACACCACGCACAGTACGTTGTGGTGAACATGCGAACAAACGCGTGGCTCTGCAAATCTGTGACGCATCGTCTTTGAAACTGATCGGCCTACGCAGGAGACGGCGGGGCAGCCTTCTCTGTGGCCCAGCCTCTCCACCGGTGTCAGCCCACGTAACGACGCCACAGGGCGAACAGGACAAGGACAATGCCACACGTGTCAGAGCGTTAACAGCTCGCGAGGTGAGCAGCAGTTGTATCAGGATGATACACTTTTTTTTCTTCCAGTGCATATATCATCGGAGCGTTGTTTGTGTGCATGTTCACCACAAGCAGTGTGTGGGTGTGTGTGTGTGGTCAATGCAGTTACTTGATTCCTTGCAAAAAAGTTTCCTCTACTGAACACATCTTAACACCCGTTGTTGTATTGCCAGACAGAGCGAACGCCGATGATTAGTTTTCATACTTTGATACCGGTAACAAAAAAAGAAAGGGCCCACGACACGAATGTTCGAAACAGTCTCCCTCGATCTCACGCACGCGCCGTTACGTCACGGCGCGTGCGTGAACCCCTCCCAAAAGGCGCGCGCGGTGGTGGCGGTGGTGGTGGTGGTGGTGGCGGTGGTGGCGGTGGTGGCGGTGGTGGTGGCGGTGGTGGTGGTGGTGGCGGTGGTGGTGGGTGGATTTCGTTTTGGCCGCCTTTGCACCCCCACCCGGGGGGGGGGGGATGACTTGTCGCAAGCCAAAAATAATTGGCAAATCGCTCTCGCCGCCTCATCCCGCCGGCAGTTGCCGGTGCCTAAAGTCGGCTTAAACAAAATATTCGCACGAGACGTAAACAAAACAACAAAAAGTTAGAGACGGCGGGCTGACGGGCGCGTCTGCGAAACCGCCGAGCGAGCGAGCGAGCGGGTTACTTCCCCCCCCCCCCCCGCCCGCTGCGGGCATCGAAGGCCGCTCGGCATCGTCGCGCTTTGATCAGGATGGGCGTCTTTATTTCTTAATGCAGGAGGTGGAATCCGACGGGGTTGCGAAGCTCTTTTTTTTGTCCCAGAGGTGTCCAGTAAAGGGGGTGGCGGCGGTTCAGAAAGTCACGACAACAAACGATAGGAAGACACGACAGGAGTGCACGGTACGCAAATCACTCGAAATGTAACCAAGCCATCTTATTATTTTACCAGGTAAAGGCCAATGAGCTATTGGCTTCTTATTCAGAAGCGACCTGCAAATAATCGAAGCTGATTAACGCTTTCCCCGTTCCGAGAAAGTCTGCAAGTTTACAGGGTGGGCGTCCCGTTCAACGCTCAATCTCAGAACGTGCAAGCGGTCATTTAATTTAGAGAGGCCGTAGTGGCAGCGCTGCCACTACTAAAGACGTGCTGCAACGCAGACACAACCGTAGCGACACGACCGCCGCCACGCTCCGATTCGCCGGCGTCCACAAACTGTGCCGCACGCCCTCCCGCATGGCTTTTGACTTCCGATTCCGTCCCGGTGACGTACACACGTACGCTTACTTACGTACGCGTACACGTCACCCCGTTATAGACAGGCGGACAGCGCCGACGCGCAAACGCCTTCAGATCCCACGGGAAATTGTCGACAAATCCACGGTGATGCGCGGCCGCCACCTTTCACGCATCGCCGTCCCAAAATACTTGGCTCAAAACGATTACGAGCGGGAGACGCGGCCGTCGGATGGCACACGCGCGCGTCAAACTCTTTCGACGCAAACGCCGTTTTTGTTTAATTTGCCGACTTGCCAGACGTTACGAAAAAAAACCCCCCATCTTTCGCTTTGGCTCGTGGCCGGAATTGAGCCATGGTGGGGGGGGGCTGCATGCCCGAGTGCAACCGAGAGCCGTTGCAGGGAGAGAGAGAAAGAGAGACCGTGCGCGTCTTTTCTTGAGAATGTCAGGTTTCAAAAATATAAAAAAATATACTTCATTTAAAAGTAGGAGGAGGAGGAAATGCAACGGGAACTCACGCCCGTGTTTTTTAATTCCTTTTTTGTTGTTGTTAAATGCCACAATGTGTCAGATCCTTTTCGCTATTGTCATGCATAACGTGGATCTTTGTCGAATGGCTCACCAGATTGAAATTGCACAGTTCTAGTTCTGTATTTGTCATGTGCATTAAATGCCACTGCTTTTGTGATATGCTGCCCCCGTAAACGTACCCTCCCCCCCCCCCCCCCCCCCCGTCACGGGTGGAATGACGGACAAAAAAACCAGTAGCTTAAACGTAGGTGGGGGGGCAGGGGGGGGGGGGGGGGGGGCCGGCGCAGCAGCGCGTTACCTTCTCAGCCACCTCGCGGACGGACAGCACGCTGGTGCCGTACAAGTTCTCGTTGTACTGCCCCGCCTCGATGAACTTGTGCTCCTGGATGTCCCTCTCCATCTGCTCCCGCGACACAAAGTGGTAGTCGCGCCCGTCGATCTCGTACTCGCGCTTGGGCCGCGTCGTGTCTGTCGTGGCGATCGACACGGTCGGTGGGGTATGATTAGTCATTTTTTTTTTTATATATTCTGACACACCACCCACATTTTCTTCACCCGCGTCTCCAGGAGCAGCGTACGGGCGCTCCCAACGACGACCGACGTACGTACGGGTCCGGCGTGACGAGCCGCTGCGCGTGTGGTCCTAAAGTTTACGGAGCTCTTTGTTGGATGTTTTATTTCTTCAATAAACAGGTGAGTGGGGGGTGGGGGGGGGCAGGGGAGTAACATATGGGAGAGGCTAGGAGCTGTGTGTGATGGCTGGGGGGGGATCTCACACAGGGCTCAGAGGCCCCAACCGTGCCCGAGGGGGGGGGGGGGAGTATGTAAGAGGACCTTTTACGAGTGCATCCCATGTTCTTTTGAAGCTTGCTCACTTTCGTACGTACGTAACGTACATGGGCGCAGAGCAATGACCGCAGCGTCACATTCAGGCGGCCAAGCACAGGTAACCGCGTCAGGAGCAACGGAGTCGTGCTAATCCCTGCGATGTATGTGCGCATGCTGAACTTCGTTGGCTACGTTCGTAGCCAGCCACGCTGCTCATCGCGGAGGTGCGCGTGCATCTGCGATGGTCCAGAGAGGCCACATCCGATGCAGGCATTTGTTCCGTGGACACCAAGCACGGGCGGTTCGTAGAATTTTAGTAGAATTTTCCCACGCGGCTCAACGTAGTTTCACGTGCCGCTGCCGCCGCGTGAAATGTTTCGAGGGCAGCCGTTGTCGACGTTCGTTCGTTGAGGTCAAATCTTTCGTTGGAATTCAGCGCCCCCGACCCCCAGTGACCCTTTTTTGCTGTTCACCGCATACTTCCGCAGAAGCCTAACAAAAGCAACCCGGCATTTCCACGTACGCTGGTGGTCGTCTCCCATCCGAGCACTCGCCAGGCTCAAGCCTGCTTCGCGTCCGAGAGGTTCCCGGATGAGGACGGGCAGAATTTTTGTTCACGGGGCCATTTAACTTTCACGGGGAAAGGAAGCCGGGATACGCCTTACGTGGCACGCAGGAGCCAAACTTGTCCGGAAACTCCGAGATGAGGTCGTCGTTCACTCGATCCTTCATGGGCCCCAGGATGATGACCGGCCGGGTGTAGCGAACTGGACGAGCAAACACAAAGACAAAGATCCCCCGCCGCACAGCAAGTGCAGTTAGCGAATAGCACCACTATCCGATTCTATGTCGGATATATATAGCGCCCTTTCCATGCCGACACGGCACACGAGGGGGGGGGGGGGTGGGTGGGTGGGTGGACAAGCACCACGCCCAGACGCGTTCGTCTCTCTAGTGGCGATGTTTACACACCGCACCAGGTACTCAAACTGAGGCCGAGTCGACTTAGGGGAGGCCCAGGACCGGTTCAGATAATCGTCAGTGATGTTGGCCATGAGCGGGAATCGAACTCGGGTCGCCGCGTTCGTGGCGCAGCGCGCTGACCGCGACACGACCCGCACCCCAGGCACAGATAACAACAATAACCGCTGTTCGCCTAATAAGTGGCGGCGACGTCACGACGGCGCTTGTGCCAGGCCAGGCGCACTTCAAGGCCATGTGAAGTGTCGAGGTCGCGGGACAGACCCAGGTGGCATGGGTTGACCGACCGAGATTGACTGGTAGGTGCGCCACCTGCCCCCCCTACTGTGCCAAATAAGAGACACATACACGCGGACACACAGAGACACACACAGCCAGAACGTCAGGGTTAAACCGAGGTCAAGGGAGTCCGAGTGTCACCCTACCCAAACAAGCGGCGGGGCAGGCAGCGCTCACTCGCCGTTGGCGACCCGAACGACGCGCTCGCGAAAAGAAAAAAAAGCACAACGCTTGGGAGCAACACGGTTGGGAGAGAATGAGAATCAAAAGCACTTGAAGGTTGGATTGGACAACAAGGTTGGCTTGCAATCCAGTTGAAGGAAACACCGGAGCGCAGAGGGCAACCGAGACAAAGTTGGCCTGATGGAGCCGAGCCCATGGACACGGAGACATCGGCAGGAGGTGGCACGTGACGACGACGGCGACGATTGTATCCGCAATTATCGCTGTTGTGATTGTTTATCCAGAAAAGCCTCACTGAGTCTCAAGACTCTTTTTCAGGAGGGTCCTGCCAAGTTTCAAAGTAAGGGGCGGGAGGGGGGGGGGGCTTTGTTTGTAATCTAATTGGGGTTATTTGCAGGTACATTTTTCAGCATTGGGATGTTAGACCAATACCAGATTCGGTTATTTTTTGTCATCAATTATTATTATTGAGAGGAAACCGGAGGAAAGCTACGCGGAACACGGGGAGAACAAACAAACTTCACACGCGGAAAAGGCGCCCGAGGCAGGAACCGAACCCGGGCTCACACTTCGTGCTGCGGAGGCACGACTATTACCACCCAGCCAAACCACTCCCGCGGCAATCATTACGACGACTGATAGCGAACAGCGGCAGGCGCGCCTCTGCTGCTGCGGGAAATCCATGGACCCAGTGCCCTCCGTGAAGCGACAAGATGGGAGAACAGGAGACCAATGCCGATCGTTTGCCGAGCAGAGCCTTGCCGACGGTTGATACTCGTTTTCGGGAGGGGCCTTCCCCCCCACGTCGGGAAATAATTCCACTTGCGCGCATTGCGCGCCACGGCAAGAGGCAACCGGAGAAGCCGGCGAAACCCGCCCCCCCCCCCCCCCGCGAACCACCCGCACGGGTGAATTATAATCTCACAACCTCCCGATGCTTTTAAAGCGATCGTAAAAAGTTCCTGCCGCAACGGAGAACATTAATCAGGGGGGGGGGGGGGGGGGGGGGGGACGACTGTCAACGTTCATTTCATTCACGCGTCGCAATAAATGTTGCGTTTCATTGACCACTACATTCCGAGTAATGCGCAAATAAAAAGCAATGTTCTTTTGGGTGGCAAACGGATGGGAGTGCTTTACAACTGGCACCCAAGCGTCAACATTTTTATTTTTTACTTTAACAGGTAAGGCCCCCCACCCCCCCCCCCCCCCCCCCCCCCCCCCCGAGCTGTGTAGCTCTTTTTTCAGAAGCGACCTGCCCACAAGGTCAACGAAGTGGCTTATCACGTGGAAATTTATAGCAGCCAAATGCTCTAAACGCGTGTTTCTAAATGGGGAGGGAAAAACCGGAGGACCCGGAGAAAAATCCACGCGACCACGGGGAGAGACACACGCAAACTCCACATGTACAGGGTCTGCATCGAACCCACGGCCTCCTGCATACCAGGCGAGGGAGTTAACATCTTGCCTTGCCACCGTGACTTGCCAGGTCCCATAATCTCAACTTAAAGCTTTCGTGACTGCAGGAATTCAAATTCTTGCGTCTTTCGGCAAAGTCACGTAGATAGGTTATATCTATTGTGACTTTACCGAAAGACCCAAGAATATAGGTCCCATAATGCCAATTCGTTTTGCAAGAGGCATTTACTCACTCCTCACCTCTGAACGGTTATAGCAATATTTCACATATCCAAGCTGTCATTCATTCATCACCCATGATCAATCCACTGCTGGATGAAGGCGGTCCCCCCCCCCCCCCCCCCCCACCACCAAGACGTCGCCATCTTCAACGGTCCCGTGATGCAACGATCCACCTGCATCCTGATGGATTGTTGAGTTTCTGATTTCATCGCTCCAATTCCCCGGAAGTGACGTCCTCTCTGCCCCCTCTTTATTAATCTTGACCGTCGGTCATCGTCGTCCCTTCTAGCCGTGACGCACCCAGGAGGCCCAAGCGCAATTTCATCGAACTATTAGCTCTCACTTTCTTCAAAACTGCTCGTCGTAGTGTGTTCAGTTGATTGCCCCCCCCCGCCCCCACCCCCCGCACCTCCGATTAGCCATGGTTTTGGCTACGTATGGCGCCAAAGAAGTAAAAAAAACACACACGCACGAACGTATTAGGGGTTGTATGTTCTCAAATCCCACCAACGCCTTTGCGCTGCATGTGCAGGGACCGTCAGGTGATGGGGGGGAACAAATAAAGGGGAACATATTAAACTCCCCCCCCCCCCCCCCCAACGAAGGGGGACGGGAAACCCCAGGTTCCATTCCCGCCGCACGACCAACATCAGTGGCGGAGCGAGCGGCGGCCTTCACCCCATAGTCCTGGTAACCCCCACCAACCCACCACCCCCCACCCCATTGACGACTCGAACTTAAATGAAAACCCTGTGGGACCTTTTTCTTTTGCCAGTACTATAAAAAAAATGAGGTTCAAAAAGTAAGAACAAGCAATACCCGAACACGGGGTGAGCCAAGGCCGTAAAAAGTGCGCCCAGGCTTGACGATTACCACCATCATCGCCACCACCAAAGGTGAGAGCAGGCTATATACCCTTACAGGCAATACAACGGGAGTTGTGCTAAGACGTTCGAACGACCAAATAGATTCCCGCTATTGCAAGGCATCAAGCGCTGCATTAACCACACGTGGGCGACCGCTTGTGTTGCCGTCGAAACGTCGTGATAGATTATTTTTGTGTTTTATTTTCCTACCTACGTGACTTTACCGAAAGAACCAAAGAGTCCGCCACGTGGTACTTGTGGAAAACAAAAAAACACGCAAACAAACACGCTCTGACAATAATGCATGTATTGTCTCACCGGTGTTACAGCAGAGAACGGCAAAATGCGTTCTCAGGTGTGAGACAAGGCCATGCAAACAAAATGCCACCAGACTTGACGATTTCCACCATCACCGCCATTATCACCATTATCACCATCTCGCCTCTCTCATCTCATTGCATGTCCCCTCTCGGTCTTTTCACTACGTGCGTGCGTACACCCGTGTGCTTGCAGTGTTGATGCTATCCTATTAATAATTTTTGAAGGACCCCCCCCCCCCCCACCCGCCACTAACCTCATCGCCTTTCAATTTGAGAATATTCCGAGCGAGATGGTCAGGAAACCAACATGGTTGTGGCGGCCGAGAAATGGAACGGATTTCCAGGGCGAGTCGTCGCTCCGAGGAAGGAGATGGAGCGACGGAATCGGATCGTGGTGCGCGGGCAGACGCCGAGATGGATCACCACGTCGAGGGATCGTGAGAGGTGGCGGCAGCGGCGGCTTGGGGAGGCCTTCAACCAGCAGTGGATTTGACCGGTGGCCGTTGACGATGCCGGAAGAGCAGGTGCGACAGATTGGGGCGACTTAGAAGCGGTGAGATGAGAGGAGGCAGATGCAGACGCGACAGAGACGAGTGTTTCATTGGCTCCGGCATTGTCAATTGTATCGCTATGTTTAGCGAGATTTGAATTTGACCTCGCGTTCGACACGCCGCCATTCGTTTTCATGAACCCGAGAGGCCCCTTCGGCTACTTGGGGGCCCCCCCCCTTTGCTTGACTTGCCCATGGCTGGCGGCACCCGTAGCACGCGAGTGAGCGTGCGCGCGAAGCGCCTGCGCGTGGTTTTTGGTCAATTCAAACTCCTGACACCTTCAAACCCGCCTCAAAACCTTCGGTGGAACAACAAACCCAAGATAAGAGTTTATTGCTCGGGCCCGGTGAGGCTTGAAGATGAAAAATATTAAGAATTCTGGATGTTGCCCCCCCTTTCTCCCGCCTCCCCGTCCCCCCACTCTCCCCATCCCCTCGTATCCTACCAATTCTTCCCTCCCCATATAACCTCTCACGATTCCGCTCACGAGTCCCCACCTCGCAGTTTGCCGTCTCTCTCTCTCTCTCCCCGTGGTCGCGTGGATCTTTTTTATCCTCCGGGTACTCCGGTTTTTCCCTCCACATTTAGAAACACGCGTCGAGACCATTTTGATTATTTCGCTGCTATAAATATTCGAGTGGCGAGCAACTTTGTTCAGCTATCATTTGTGGCCAGGTCGCTTCTGAAAAATAAGTTAAAACAGTCATATCTCGGTATACGACCGCTTTGGAGTACGTCGAATTTGGTACACGTCGTGTTTTGACGAGAAAAAAAGTGTCTTGGGATACGACGTCTTGCTTGGGATACAACGCGCTTGCTAGAACTTGTATGGGTCGGGATGAGTCACCGCGTACCCGCGTAGACCCCGTTCACGACTGAGACAAATCGCCGCTCCTCAGTCTGCCTGTAGATCTCGTTCAGTGCACAACCCTTGCTGTAACTATCTGTGAATTTTCACGTGTTTTTTGTCATTTTTACGTGAATTTTCAGCATGGTAAAGCGATGTTACATTTTATTTCAATTTATTTTAATTTATTTATGCATTAAATTTTAATTTACGTATGCATTTTAGTAATAGGGAGTGTCTAAATTATTTGATACAACCCCATTCATGTATAATATGCCGTATAAAATATAATTTCTTATACTCTGGAATGGACTATTTCCTTTCCCTTGATTTCTTATGGGAAAAATTCGTCTGGTAGACGTCACTGTCGGTATAAGTCCTCCTACCTTCTGGAACGAATTAACGACGTATACCGAGGAAGCATGTATAACTCAGTGGGGCTTTGCCTGGTAGGATGGGGATGGTTTAGTTTGTATTTGTTTGCGTTTGGGTGATTTGTTCACCTTTCTTGTACTTGATACCACGATCATGTTTTTGTAACTGTTTGTTGTTGCAACGTTCTTATCCGCCCAGACTGGACATCTGTGAAAAAGAGCTTTAGAGCTTATCGGATTCCTCCGGCATAAATAAATATCACGATTCTGGATGTGGCGGTGAGCCCAATATCAAATCCACCCCCCCCCCTTTCCTTAAACCCAGGGGGGGGGCCAATGAGCCCCTTGGCGTTTGTCCGCAGAGTTTCTGCACCACGTCCATCCCCCCCGACTCCTCTCACTGCGTGGTCACGGTTCGTGCCGAGTTACAACAGAATCAATAAAGCAACAAAAGACATAGCTCCCAACAAGAGCTTTCTTTCTCTCTCTCTCTCTTTGGGTTAGATCGCGTAAACAAACACGTGTTGACGCTTTTATATTTGTGCGATCTAACCCCAAAAACAAAAAGCGCTGGATATAGGTCGCAAAGGCCTACAGGTGTAAAACCAAAAAAATTGTTGTGGATGTGAAATAGAAAGTTGTCCGTGAGGTTATTTTTTTCTTGGGTTAGATGGCGGAAATATAAATATGTCGACCCATATTCGTCGCGCACTCCAACCCAAAATAATGGATAATATTGGTCGCGAAAGCCCGCTATGTGTTAAACCAAAAAATTGTTGTGGATGTGAAATTCTCACGATTTCAAGCCCTTTTCCCCCCCTCCCATCCCCATTACCCCCCCCCCCCTCCTCCTCCAGCTCCCCTCTTTCCCGTGCAGTGACATTCCCAAAGCGTGCGCGCCCGTGCTCTTTGTCGACGGGCGCTGTCCAACACCCGCGTTGTAAAGAGGTCGGACAGCTCGCAAGGCCACGGGCGAAGGACGCGTTCCAAAACGTACAAACGATCGTTTAATCAATTGCACGAGAGGAACGATTCACCCCCTAATGACGCCCCCACCACCCTCCTCCTTCCCCGGTAAATCGTTAACGAACCGTCACGACTTTTGGGATGCCATACAATCTAGTGGACATCTGTGAAAAAGGGCTTAGCAGGCTCATCGGATTTCTCCAGCGTAAGTAAAGATTATGATTCTAAAAAAATAAAAATCCCAAGCTAAACGATCTATTCCTTTAGTCTCGACGGGGGCAGGGAGAGGGGGAGGAGACAAAGACCCCCCCCCCTCACATTCCCCCCCCCCCCAGACCCTTCCCCCCCTGTGCTGAAGACTCCCTCAAGTGATGCCCCCCCCCCTCGCAGCCTGTCCGCTTTCCACTTTTCGTCTCGCGCGTCGTCAGTCTTCGCCTATCCACTGCTGGATGAGGACCCCCACCACCCTGCCCACCCCCCTCCCGAGGGGCCGTCGGCATCTCTCACGGTGACGGCGACGATCCGGCACCACAAGCTCCCGCGCGACTAAGGCGCCGATTTCGCCGCTCCGTCGCCACGGAGGACGCCCGTCCCTGCCGTTTGGATGCCGTTGCCGTCGTGAGTCGCGGCCACTGCCCGTCGTCCCTTCTGGCCACGCCGCGTCCCGCTCCCGGCACAAACTTGATTTGTTTTTTCTTCTTATCAGCGGTCAGAGCGACCTCTTCCTTTCGTTCATTTATGGCGATTGCCCCCCTCCCCGCCCCCCCCCCCCCCCCCCCCCCCCCCCCCCCCCCCCCCCCCCCCCCACCGACGGATGCTCGTTGTCGTAATCCACTTCGTTGAGCCGTCGTTCATGATAGCCAGGTCGCTTCTGCACAAGAAGCTAATCTCGCTCGGTGGGCTTTACCCGGTAAAATTCGAATAGTTTCGGTTTTTGCGTGTGATTTGCTTACCTTTCGTCTACTTTGCACTCCTATCGTGTTTTTGCATTGTTTGTTCTTGTAACTCTCTGAGCCGCCCCCTACTGGACATCTGTGAATTAAAGAGCTTTGTAGCTCATCGGATTCCTCCTGCAGTTCGAATAAATATTCTGAACCCGCATTGTAAATGTTGTGGATTTGCTCTCCGACACACAGCTGGTGGCGCTCAAGTATTTTCGCTTTTAAATCTAGATTTAAAACGAATTTCTTTAGAACTGCTTTTGGTGTTCAGTTAGGTGTCCATCCCCCACCCACCCCACCGCAACTCCGATTAGCACGCTTGGCTACATTACGGCACGAAAGTAGTTTACCATAAATACGTACGTACGTACGGATCAGACGCACGGACGACGACAAAGGCACGGAGGAGCGGCAGCACACGCCTTGGAAGAAAATCCATCGCGTTTCACGTATCGCACGCGTCCGCCGTTGTTTTGTCTCTTCGCAGACGTTCGGAGGCGCGCGGACAGACGGACGACCGAACACCGCAGCGAAAGTAGCGCGTCATACCTTCTTGTTGTATCACGGGCTCGTACGACAGAATATTTTCTTCGGGGCTCCCTGTGGGAAGGAGTGGGGAGGGGGTGAAAGAAATACACGAAGATGTAAGCCAAAAGACAATGGGCGTACGACGACAACAACGCGCACGCGCGCAATGTTTACATCCAGCGAAGGGCGAACGCGCCACGAACGCCGAGCTCAAGCGGATACGCTCAACTGCAAACGCCGTAACGCTGCCCGGATTTATTATTTTTTCCGGCACGTTTCTCCCCTTGCTGTAGCCGACGGACTAAGTAATCGCGAAACCCTTTATCAGCGCCCTACCTTATTACAGACCAATTCGGACCTTATTGGTCACCCCGTGCCCCTTGTAAATCTCAACGTTCATCCTACAAAGTCCCCATCACAAGGAGAGACACACAAACAAATAGGCACGTTTTTTATTTGCCCGTATTGAAACGGCTGTACGCCGTATGGACCTGAAAACCCAATTTCCCTGTGCAACAATACCGGTAAACCGTATGGGGTGACAGGTATCCGACTATATTCCGATACACTACACTATAAAATTGGCCCGCATTGAAACGGCTGTACGCCGTATGGACCTGAAAACCCAGTTTCCCTGTACAACTATACGGGGTAAACCGTCTGGGTTGACAGGTATTTCGAACAATTGTTTGCCCCAACAACGGCGGACCAAGCGCGGCCATTTCAGCCAAACTGTTCGCTACGCTTTGTTGATCGGTTGCAAAGGGGCAAACGCGCGTGCCCGTACAAAGCCACGCGCCACAGACTTACTTCCGCCTTTTCTCACGCTTAAAAGGATCGAGCGCCCACACACCACGCGTGTGGTTTTGTTTTGTTGTTGTTGTTGCACGGCTCGCGATTTCACGGCGTGAGCGTTCGCGTCCCCGCAGCCCGCCGCTTCTTCTTAACGTCCACACAAATTGATGCAACTAATTATTCCAGCGAGAAAATAAATAAAAAATAAACACGATAGCAAATTGGCCCGGGGCGGTGGGAGTTGGGGGTGGGGGGGGGGGCTCGCAAGCGTGGGCACATGTGATGATTACTGGACATCTGTGAAAAAGAGATTCACAGCTCATTGGATTTCTCCAGGATAAATAAGGCGGTGGGGTGGTCGGTGGGGGACAGGCAGGGATTTTAAAACGGCCTCGCCGGGAGATCAGAGCGCTTGTGCTCACCGTAACGCCACAGCGGTTACCCCCCCTCCTCCCACTCCAACACGAGAAGCAAGCGCCACCACGGGTAGGGCCAAGCAACCTACTTGTCTCCCACTGCCACCGCTTAACCGAAGAGAGAAAACAAGCCAACTTGGAATCCGCACCGAGCCTCCCTTCTCTCTGTCTCTCTGTCTCTCTCTTTGCGAGCGATCCAAAGCTTCCGCGATTTCTCACAAAGCCGGCAAGAGAGAGGGGGCTGTCGACGGGGCCGCAAGGAGCGCTCGGTGCGCCGGTGAACTCATTTTACTCGTGCGCGTGCGATCGCCGCTGGCTGACGGCACTGTCCTCAGCAGGTGATTTGAAAGGCTTGGATGGGGTGGCGTGGAGGGGGGTTACAAAGGGGACCTTCTCTCACCCCCCCCCACCCCCCACCCCACCCCTCCAAGGGCACTACAACGGAGCCAGCGATGATCACCCGGAGGAGGGGGGGGGATGAGATTTCAGGAGGCCGCGTTTATTCTTTATTTATATTTTTTTCCCCCTCCGGACGAGGGCATCGCAGGCCAGAAGCAATCGAAAAGTAACGTAATAGCGGCAAATAAATAAATATAGCCCGCCCGTCGTCTATGGAAGGTAACGATTTACCTCGCAAAAAAAAACAATTATAGGGAGAGGGAAAAAAAAGCCGTAAATAGAAATCGATGAAAAAAAATATAATAAAATGAAATGATCTCCGAAGGACAACGGGGAAAATGACGAGACAGGGATGAGATTGGATGGACCCGCTGCAGCCAAATGTTGGCCCATTAAATACATCTCTCGCGTGTGGTTTTTTGTTTTGGGGGGGGGGGGGTTGTTCACTCATAATGTTGCCTGAGATTGGGTTTAAGTGCCCTGGCAGAAAATCTCAACAATTTTAGCACCGAAATAAGCTTGCTCTGCCGTTCCAGATTGCTCATCGAGGTTAATAAGCGCCCGATTAAATCAACATTCCATTATATCAGCGCACGGTATGCGATTTAGTAAAAATTGTAGTTTTTTTTTAATCGAGAAACATTTTCCCATTCAAATTACTTTTGTTTCTATATCGGAATAGACGCAGAAAGTATTTCTGTCGTTGTAAAATTAGTGAATCAGTTACGTAAAATATCTTAGGAGTTACATCTTCCCCGAGTTTGTAATGTAAATTAGCGTGAGGTAACAGGACATTTCCCTCATGGGGATCTTACGCAACGGATTACACGTACTCCTTGTTGTAAAATTCTTAATAGACAAAATACAAAGATCCCCCATATGAACCTCATGGCGGTTACCCCTCTGACATCCGTGATGCAGTCATTTTTAGCCTGTTGATGGTCGGCGACGCGGCAATCGACTCATCTCGACGAGCTGTACCCACGATGCACCGCTACGGTGCGTACGAGCGTTCAGGGTTTCGGCACAATCGTCCTCGCTGCGTTTCGACACCGCGGGGTGGCACCGATTTCGGATTGGTACCCCGGTCGTGGAGTGAAGTAACACCCCTGGGAAAAAGAGTGTCCCAGAAATAAAATATTTAATTGCCTCGGCCATTTTGTATTATTTGGTACCCAGGGGTTACCGCCATAAGGATCATATAGCCTTAACAGATTGTTGGGACAAGTGCTGTTAGCGAGCACCCATGAAGGCCGGCATGGCCCACGAGGGAGTGGTTGGCCAGCACCACGCCCGACCGCCTTTGTCTCCACAGTGGCGATGTTTTGCACACTGCACCAGGTACTCATTTGAGGCCGTGTCGACTTAGGGGAAGCCCAGGACTTGTTGAAATATACGCCACTGTGGTTGGCCGTGAGAGGGAATCGAACACGGGTCTCCGGGCTTTGCAGCGCAGCGCGCTAACTGCTGCGCCACTGTTCCCCGCATTCTCAACGGTTACCGACAGGACACCAGAATCCCCCAAGGATTAAAAGGAAAACCCAAATAAACCCACAAGATGCTCCGAGTGCTCGCGTTTACCCTTCTAACTCGCCGAAATGCGCGAGAAGCGGTTCTTCAGCGAGCATGAAAATAATGTTTTTTTTTCTTTCCCCTGACGAGGCCAGTTTAGTTGCTTTGCTGCAAGGCTCCGCCACCAGAGTGCATCGTTATAAAACGAGAGCGTTATTCAGTAAGTGTACGTCGCGAAATCTAAACCCGTCGTCAAAACAGTTCCCCCCTCCCCACCCCCCCCCCCCCCCCCCCCCCCCCATGTTCAATAATTTGTTCATCATCATCGTCGTCATCATCATCATCAGCAGCCTTGGTCAATTTACTGCTGGATGAAGGCCTCCATCTCCGTTTCCTCCACGTAAGCTGCCACCTATCCACAATTCCGCGATGGATTAATCAACCCGGCACCGGCATTCATTGCGAACAAATGTTTTGAAGTCTGCGTTCGAAAGCAAATTTGACGATGCAGGAAAGAATACCGATAACCGCTGTAAGACAATCGATGATATGAAAACACGAACGGGTTATCACATTTAATGATCCTTTACCTGGTAAAGTTGTATTTATTTATTAACTAACAGAACCGTGGCTGTGCCCTTGAAGAGCAAATAAAAAATACTTTTAAAACACCAGGGAGAGGGGGGGGGGGGTTAATTTGAAGAGGGGCTAAAATAATGACCGGGCAGTCTCCCAACGTATATTTATATTTTGTAACAACAATGCACTTTTGTCACGCTCACAAACAACAAATGGACAAACATCCATCGATTTTGTCAAAACATTTGAAAATATATTTTGCAACGGACAATGGGCTACGTTATAATTTGGTGAAACTTCTTTTTTGACACTTAAAAAAAGACAAAATCATTGGTCACGCTTCATTGTAATTTTTCTTGTTTACTACATTTAATTAATTACTGACTTTACAACAAAAAATGCCAAATGGAAAGCCTGTTTTGCCGACATGCTCCCTGGACAGAAGCTACTCTGCAGGATATGGCACTGCCTCCCTGATTAAACACATTGCAGGCAAAAATCACCGATTCTGGTCCTCAGGCCTTCAAATGCCGGGCACACACAATGGAACATCCGTGAGCCTCACCACACGCCTTGAAGGGACCGAGTCTCTGAGCTCCAGTGAACCCAAATTATACTGATATCTGATATGGCTGTTGTTCACGATTGCACCCAATTACTGACGAAACGTGGTACTCAGATTGTAAATGTTGTGGCTTGGCTCTCCAACGCACAGGCGTACTAGTGACGAATTGGCCACGTTCTGTTTACGTGACAACCCTTACTAGTTGGCTGTGTCGGGTGGTGGCGGGTTTTAACGACACGTTTATATATTTACGCGATCTAACCCCAAAAACAAACCTCTTATGAATAATAACAACAACAAACATCACAATCGGAGAAATCAAGATGAGAAATCAAACTTACTCAAATGGTTTTCATTACCGCTGGGAGGAACAGGTGTGACCAGCTCTGTGAAATGAAAGCGCAGGACACGGATGTGTACACAACGGTGACCAACAGATGGAGGACACAAACGTGATGGCCGAAAAACAGATCGCAAACAAATAATAAACGACAACAATTACCGAAATGGAAAATTGCTTCATCCCCATCTCTGAGCGTTGAGGACGTGAAAGCAAAGGACCCATTTTATTCAATTTCCGTCCCCTCTCACCGCCTCCCTTCCCCACCTACGATCAATTGGGAATTACACAAACCTACTAATTCAATGCATTGAAGTTTCTTTTGCGTTTTTAAACATTTCCACAGCAAGGGCGACTTTCATCCCGCTCTGCACGTACATCGCTAACTCCTTCCAACGGTGCAGGCAACGTTCTTCCCCGCATCCGACGCGGCAGCGCTGCGTTATCAACTTCTGCCGCGTAGGGGCAGCTGTGCGACTGTGGTGCCCCCCCAACCCTTCTTTCGAATGCAGCCAAGTATTGAAAGAGATTTAGGTGATTATCATTATTGTTATTCTACTGGAGAAAAACCTCTGCCGAGTCTCAAGACTCTTTTTTTCAGACGGTTCCTGCCAAGTTTTCGCAGTAGGGGGCGATGACCGCTGCTGTGGGTGCACGCGTGATCCCGATTGAGTAGCTTGCCGTGTCGTTTTTCAAACTCGGGTAAAATATGGACCTGCGAGTATCGTCACGTGACCCTCAACGTCCGGCGCCGTAGTCCAGCGTCGTCACGGTTAACACGCACCGCGGGAATAACCGGGGAGGGCGCTAGTTTCGAACCGTGAAATCGTGAAATCGTGCTATGGCTAAGGCCATGCCAAGCGCCCAACGAAAGGTTGGCGTAAAGGCATTGAAGCGCCCCGCGCAGGTCGCAAACTCGTACAAGTAACTTCCATATTATTCCAGACCGGGGATTGAACCAGGATGGTGCGGCTGACTCGGCGGGTCACAAGGCAAAGCTGACCATAAAAACCGCCACTGCCGCCGCCGCCGCCGCCGCAGCGACACCACCATCTGGCGGCAAAAATCCGGCGGGGGGAAAAAGTTGGCATTTTTTAAAAATCGGTTCGATGAGGGTCGTTTCCTCCAGAATAAAATGAAAATTACAACGACCAAAAAAAAATGTGCGCCACATGCAGAAATGTTTCGACGAGACCCAAATGCCCCCCCCCCCCCCAGGAGGGAGGAGAACGACCCACGCGTTTTCAGACGAAAAACATTTATCCCCGCGCACAAATTGTTCCGTCAACAAGCGTCAGGCGGTAATGGACGGCTGCGGGGGGGGGGATGGGCGGGGAGAGGGAAGTGACGGCGGAAACATTTAATGGGACGCTTTGCAAGCGTAATAATAAACTCTTAAGAGGGCCCCGCAACACCTCTGAGAAAAAGTGGATCGCAAAATTGTCGCCGTAGTGATGAAGGTAGAGGTGAAGGGGCGGCCCCTGCACAATTGCCTCGTAACTTTGGCCTACTCTTCCACACTGGCCACGTGTCTCGGAAGAATGCGGGAGCAACCCCCACACAATTCACCCCACCCCCGCATGCGGACCTGCCTATCGTAAACACCTTTAACTGTGTGGCGCATCTATTTTAGCCCGCCGAGCGGGCCGAGAGTTGCGGGAGGGATCCAAGAAACTTGAATCCTCGTTTCAACTGCCGCGAGCCGGGGGGACCAAAGCGGCGCTCCGCTTTCGGGATCGCAAGAAGGAACCGCCGTCATCGGGGCGGGAATAGGGGCTTCGACTCCTCGCAAACAGGGCCCACACGGGCAGGCAGACAGGCTGCGCTCCCCGCCAACTGCGTACGTTCGGTGGCAGTCGCTGCGACGCGGCGGTCGGCGGCGATTTCAACCGCTCGCTGCGGGGGGTTCACGGTTCGAATCCAGCGGCCGCCCTGGTTAAGTCACCGCGGCGTGTGTTAACCGTAGCAGTGGCAATGATACTGCCGCGACTCCTACGGGCTGTCTGCTCCACAGCTGGCGTTAAAATTCCCCGCGCCCCTCACCGCCCGATGCCATTCCCTGGGAGTGGTGGGGCCACTGCGCGCCGTGCGCGTCAAGAGTCCAAATATGAAAATGACCCGCAACTTACTCAACTGGGATGACGCATTGGGGATCATCGCACCCCCCTCCCCGCCCCCCGCCCCACTACTGGCAGACTAACGCCCAAGAGGTCACGCTGGCAAATGAGACTCAGTGCAGCTCCAAGGCTATGGAAAGCGTTTGGCCTCCGACAATAAGACAAATCAGAATCTTTAGAGCTATTTAAATCTCGCCCCCGAAAAACTCACCCCTTTAAAAATGTCCATTTCCCCCGTAGGTTTTTGGTCGCTAACGCTGTCTCTCTGGTCTCATTTCCCTGCTTTCCATACAACGGGCACGTTGGGATCCTTGGATGAAATGCGATGTCCAGTAGACATCTGTGGAAAAAGAGCTTTGTAGCTCGTCGGATTCCTACAATTTTTAATAAACTGCTTCTAATTCTGATCCTCGTGTCTCGGGGGGGGGTCCTCACCTGGTTTTGGTTACACACACAACAAACTTGCAACTGCGGCTCAGAGCCAAACGTCCAGCTCGCAAAACGGTTCGGCGTTAACACTGAACGCGCGCGTACATATTTGATTTTTTTGCCGGTCGTTGCAAGGAGATGTGGGGGGGGGGACAGAAGCGATTTAAAAAAAAAAAAAAGTTTTTTTTTGCTGCTGCTGTCCCCGTCGTTTTAATAGCCTCCGTCTCTCCCTTTGCCTCTGGTCTTCAAACACTTACTTAGCGTTTTCATTCCGTAATCTTCATCGCTGAAGCTCGTCAGCTCCTATACAAGGGGCGGCGGTCCAGACAGCGGGCACCAATGTCGCAACGGAAATTGAAACAATAACGACGACGACGACGACGACAGCCACAGAAATAAAGTGACGCACAGCAACAAAAAAACAAAAGGCACAAAAATTTGCAAAGGAGGTAGAAGAAAAAGAAAAAAAGGGGGGGAAAGAAAAATAAAACCAAAAAGAGAAATAAGAAACAAAACACCACATGGGAGGAAAGGTCAGTCAATTCACGCCATCGGACACTGCCCAACGTCGGCCGGGAGTTTACGGTCAAGGCTCCTTTGGGGTTTGTTTTTCAAATACATTTATTTTTTTCAATCTATATCGTTCGGAAGGCAAAAGAAAAAAAGGCGACGACGCAACGGTGAGATTCGATACGCGGACGACGACGACGACGACGCATTTTGCCTCTCGTTTCGTCGTCACGTTAATAATTGTTGCTGCCGTTGTTTTGCGGGCCTGGGACTATTTCTCTGTAAGTTTAATGCACCCCCGGCCCCCCCCCCCACCACCTTCCCTTATCACCTCTTGCCCCCTGCCCCCCACCCCCAGAAAAAAAATCACATTGGGGCTAACCAACGCGATTACTTTGTGTGAAAAAGAGGCGATAAATCGATAGACTTATACATACCCCCCCCCCCCCCCCGGTTGTCCCCCGTCCGGTTTTTCTGTCACCTAAAGCGTCGTTGTTATGGGCCTAAGTTGTTGTCGTTTCATAACATCCTAAATAAAATAAAAATACAACAATAATCATTGTTGTTTTCATTCTACTTTTTCGCGTTTCCGACCGGCTCTCTCTTCGCTCGCGCCGAGACTCGCCGGGCCGCATCGCCTCGCACGCACCTCTGCGACCGTCATCCTCACCAAGATCTGCGCCCGTGCATCACGTCTGGTAACCGTCGCTGGACGCACCACGTGGAATATCGAGCCCAGCAGCCGATTGGGTGGGTCGGTCGCTCGCTGCTCAAATACAATCTATCCTACCTTGCTTTCATGTCTACGTATCTCACCTGAGTCTAATTGGTGAAACAAAATGACTAAATGTATAAACTATCCACGAGCGGAGGCAAGGGGGCTGGGAGCGCAGTTTGACCCAGTGCCTCGTGACAACATCTTAAAAGCCAGAGATTTTCTTTTAATGCCGCGTTAATGACGTTCCCACACTGAGCCAGACAAGAGTTCCCGTCTTCTCCTGCGGTCGTCACGTACCGATTGGAACGAAGCAAGATTCAACGGATGGTGCCGACAAGAGCGTATTCTGCGCTTCTGACAGAGCTTGCTCCCGACGCGGAAGCACGCTTCCCGGTCAAGCTCTCCCGGGACGTGTTTTCCTGGTTGTACCCGCGCGTCTTTTTTTGGCACGATTGCTCACAATTTCGCTTCCAGGCGTCGGCAGCAAGCCGTCGTGACGTCACGTCGAACAGCACGCTGACAGACCGACGGAGAGACACGCGCGCACAGCTAATGCACTAACGCTTCCTAACGATCGCTCGAAAGCTGAAAAAAAAAACTGAACCCAGTTATATCTACGGGACTCTTTTGCCAGAGATAAAACCGCTTAACCCGAGCTATTAATGCTTTGTGTGCGTGCATTGTCCTTGTACTGGTCGCCTTTTGGTGGCACTTGGTCAAGCACTAGTGAGGATAGGCCATAAAGGAGGCGGTCTCTGGTGTGGGCCAATCAGTTTCAAGGACAATGCATACATTATGAAGACATTTGTTTGCACGTTTTACCACAAGTCTGTGTGGATAATGCACAATTGATGCCTTGTAATAGTAATAGGTTCCTATTTGGCGTTTGAACATTTAACACCTGCATTTATTTATGCCAGAAAGGTTACAGTTTTTTTTGTTCATCATTCGCTATCTTGAAGATGCTTCAGGCGTGTGGAGTGAAACGTCGGACGACCTGCCCAACAATCCCCTAAAACAACGAGCCCTAAAACGCGCCGGGGTCGCGTCGAGCTCGTCGATTGTTCCGCGATGTTTTCACAACGAAATTCTACATCTTGCTGCGACGGTGGCAAGCAGCGTTCCATCTCCCTCGTTCCGCTACGCACAGGAATTCGTGGGGTTCGATCCCAGACCCCGAACATGCCCGTTTGTATATTTGGAGTCCGCGTGCTTTCTCCTCTCCCTCTCGCCCCCGTAGTGGCCGCGTGGATTTTTCTACGGGTACCTCCGGTTTTGACCTCCTACACACATTCATAAACGCGCTTTTAGATTATTTGGTCGCTGCCCTAAATTATAAATTCTCGCGCGCGATGGCGATATCAGCCTCCAGCGATGAGCTATCGCGTGTGGCCAGGTCGCCTCTGAAATAAGAGCTCATAGGTCGGTGGCCTCTACCTGGCAAGGACACATACGGTAACTTCTCGCGCACCACGTGTAGGCCAAACCGCGCTAATCGGGTGGTGCGACATATAACCAACTCAGTTCGCAAACGTTTCGCCGCTCGCGAATTTCCGTGAATTCCGAGGCCGCCAAAACCTGCACCAAACTCGGTCACGGTGGAATACTGTCTACCCGGTTTAGGATGGATATGTTTGCGCGTGTTTTGACGTTTGCGTGTTAAGTGGATAACGGCGACTGCCGTGGGTGTATACACAGCGGGAGAGGGATCATTTGTGACTGCTCGACACCGCTGTGATCTCAACTGTCTATTATTATTATCATTGCCGTTCCGTTTGTTTGCCCATGAAAGGTCTCACCGAGTCTCAAGACTCTCTTAGGAAGGCCTTGTCAGAAGGGGGGACCAGTCGCTACGCGAAATTCCACTTCGTGACTTGGATCGCATTACCCAATTGACTTCTGCGATCCACGTGGGCCATCGGCGGACGAATGTTGGCCGAAAAAGACGAATTTGCTCCACATATCTTCTGGGCCGCTCCCTCTTGTACATTCCCATTTTGTCACTCCGCTGCTGGATGGGGGGGAGGGGGGGGGCTCATCCCCTCCACACCCCGTGGGCCGTGAGGGATCGTGGTTGGGGCGTGCGTAGCTACACGACCCACCCCCCCCACCTCTTTGTACCGTGATGGCCATATACGGTGATAAACCACCGTCCTCAAAAAAAGCCTCCGTCTCGGTTGCAAAGTGAGCGGGCTTTTTTCCCCCGCTTCGCTGACGAAGGGGACTTCATAATATGCACAAGCGATCGTTACGCCGGCGATCCTTGCACTAACCCCCTTCCTCGCTCAGTCTCTTGTCGTGTCTCGCGCATCGCGGGACCGGCTCATCCCATATGTAACGATTCCCAAGCAACGAACCAAAAGAGTGCCGGTCGGAGTCAAAATATTAAGAGGCCACCCGTGAAATCCGGGGGTGGGGGCGGGGGGTTTTAACGTTGTCCATTTTTGTACAGGGGGCTCGCCGTGAAAAACACCACAACACCATAGCCGCCCAATGTCGCAGCCACTCTTGGCGAGGATATATAAAAAAAACGGCTATGGTTTTTTGTTGTTCAAGAGCTTTCAAAGGTTGAAGGGAAAGTTATTTCGGCACGTTTGCTTCCTGTTTAGTGCCGTACATGCGCGAACATTGGCGGCCCTAATTGTGTCAGCGGCTCTAGTCCGTCCGTCCCTCTCTAAAAACAACGGCAAGAGGCGAGAGTCACGATAACTCAAACAACAATATTCATAACTCTCGTAAAAAAAACAGTCCTGCGCGAACGATACTTGTTTTTGCACGTCAAAAAAAAAAAACTAGCGCTGCTTAAAAGGATTCGCCTTTGGCTCCACTATCCTCCGGAGCCCCGTGGTCTCGTCGCCGGCCCTCCCGGACGTTGCTGCTCCCTGCGCCAACTGGCCACCCACTGTTACCGCCGTCGCCGACGAAACGCTATCCGGGGGGGGGGGGGGTCTGGGGCGAGCGGGGGTGGACCAAAAAGCCGCCCTTTTGTAAAGCGTACCAGGATCCGTGCGTGCGCGATTTTTTATTTTTCCTTCCTCGTCGGCTTTTCATCAATTAATTATAATCTTTGGGGGGGGGGGGGGGGGGGGGGGGGTTGGGGGGGAACAGCTGAGAGAAGCCTCTTGACCGCAAAGAACCGACCTGACGGTGGGCAGCACGGGCACGCCGCCCTCCGTCGCTCCGCCGCGCCCGCCCGCCCGCCCCCCGGACTCGGGCTTTACTTACGTTCCGTCTCTACAGTTTCCTGATCGCTTGGCGCCTTCGTCTTGTGGAAGGGGAATTTTCGCGAAAAGATGAAGCTCTTTTTACGTTTGTCATTGAACGAGTGCTGGACAGGGAGGGGGACAAGGGAGGAGGGGAGGGAGGGAGGAGGAGGAGGGAGGGAGGGAGGAGGAGGGGATATATCGGGCAAAGCAGGGAGATGGGTCGGGGGTTGGGGGAGAGGGGAAAGGGGGAAGGGAGGGAGGGAGGATGAAACAGGGATATCTTAACATGCTCCACAAACAAGCCCTGTGTAAGCTGCGAGCAGGACAACTGCCTGCTTTATCTCATAGGGGGATATCGTATTCATAATAATAATAATAACTGCTTTGAGACAGTGTAAAATTGTGGAGCCCTGCAATTGCTTGCTCAAGCCTCCAGCGGCAGGAGGGCCTCCGCTGGACGTTGCTCTATCCCAGTGTTCGTCACTCATTTTCAGAGGGGGGGGGGGGGGGGGGCGCCACTTTCGCCGATAACACATCATCAGTGTGTGTGTGAGGGCCCACCACACCATTTGAAACACCATTGGGGGTTTGTGATCAGCACGATGATGATGAATGGCGGGGGGGGGGGGGGGGGGGCCTCGCTAAAGGCCACCGGGGGCCGCCATTGGCCTCGTGGGCCTTGCTAATGAAAGAAGGCCGCTCCTACAGGGGAGCTCACTCCATGCGATTTGGCCTACTCTTGGGGAAAAAAAAAGAGGCACTGCCCGCCGCAATTAACCCCCCGCACGTGACCTGCGAGATTGGTTCGCAGTGGTGTGGCCCACTGCTGGGCATCTCACAAAAGAGCTTCATAGCTCATCGGATTTTTTCCCCTCTGGTCTAAATAAATATTCCGATTCTGAAGCCAATGCCGGGTGGACAGAGGCGTTTCAACTGCCACGCCGGGAGATGTAACTCGGTGATCTCCAAATTGCAAGCCAAGGTGTGTGCCGGCTACCTACGGCACAGATATCCTTGGTTCTTTCGGTAAAGTCACGTAGAAGGGAAACAATAAATTATTTTTCATATTTTTATTATTTTATTGTTTCCCTTCTACGTGACTTTACCGAAAGAACCAAGAATATGGATCCCTGCAGTCACGAAAGCTTTAAATCAAAATTTACGGCACAAATGTTAATGCGAGCTAGAGGTCTTCCATCAAATTCCAATCAACCGTGCGTTTCGTTTTGGCCACTGGCAAGAAATCAGAGGAGACGGCCAACGCGTAAACGAGCGGGAAACCACAACCAAAAGCCTCCGCGCACATGGATTCGAGAATCCGTTTTTTTTTTCTTGCGCGAAAGGAAATTGGAGTGACTGGCGAAAACTCGCGTGCAGGAGGGGACATTCGCGAGCGTCTCTCTTTGCGGGACTGACTGAAGAAGTAAAAAAAGAATAACCCACCCCTACCACCTCACCCCTCTAGTACCCGAATAGTGCTGGCAATATGATTGCAGCGAAGGATTAATATCGATGTTGATGGGTTGTTTCCTAGCAATAGGCCTCACGCGGCTGCAGATGCGTTGATTTCGCAGGTAGGGCTACCTTCGTATCATTTGTGCTGTTAAGTATTGCGATGACCTCTTTAGTGGGGGGGGGGGGGGGCGAATTCTTCCTCAAAAAATAAATTGAATGAATGAAAGGCCGTACAAATTGGAAGTCACGGGCCGGATATCCCCACACCCTGTTCTAAACTAAGGTCTGCGCATGTGTGACTGATTAACTGTAATTATTGTGATTATTACGCAACAGCTGCTTAAGGGAAAGGACAAGAGATGGTCTTAAAGGCATAATCAATCGTTTTTAAGAGGGGGGCCCAAAACTGGTGGATTTGCAGAAAAAGTTGCGTTGCGAGATTTGCCGAGCGGCCAATGGGAGAGCGGGCGAGGCTTCGGCCAGGGGATAGCGGTGCAGAAAGCGGGTTCACGACCCCTCAGCGCAGCGCTTCGAGCGTTATTATCCACTCATAGAGCAAGGGGTGGGTTTTCTCCGTAGCTCTCTCTCAACCACGTTTTCAAAACACGATTTGAAACTTTGATCCTTTACTCGCGTGCGAAAAACAGGTCAATTTTAACGTGCCATTTTACTGAGGGACGACTGTGTGCGTTTGACTTGGTGTGATCTGGGACTGTTGTTGGTTTTTTTTACTGCCTTGCCCCCAAGCTTGGATCTGGTGTTGACAAATCGTATTCATGTACTTTATTTGTGTTCATTTGATTTTTTTTTATTCACTGACTTGCTTACATTTATCTGTCTCTATTTCACACTGCTATCGTTCGCTTGCCGGCTCACGCGTCCCAAACGGCCATGTGTGAAAAAGAGCTTTGTAGCTCATCGGATTCCTCCAGTATAAATACATTCAGATTCTGGAATTCGGTTGGCCACAACAAAGGCAAATTTAGCAGTAGGGCCTCACCTCGCTCCCCCCTCCCCCCACTGAAACAGGAGACTTCGGGACTCATTGAGATTTTCTCCTAGGCAAAACGTGCACGTTCTTTTGGCTTTTTTTCTTACTTAATTTAAACGCGTTTGTAAAAAATTATAATTCTACGGTTGGCACTTACACAGGGGCTGTTTGCTTCAATGGACATTCGCTCGTTGAGCACATGCGGTCGGGGCGATTCAAAAAGCGAGCACACGTAACGGTCAAAGAAAACCAACGGTAACAGAAAGAAAAAAAAAATCGAAAAATATATATAAAAAAACAAAACAAATGCGGAGCAATTATGGGATTCAAGGATGCCGTTATCTGTAAACAAATAAAATAAACGGGTAGATAAAATACAACGTTTTATATTCAGTGTTCCAGAATGTACCATATGCCATATCTCTTGATCGAGACTCCGATACAGCACACCACATATCAATATCATCTTGTCGCAAAGTCTAAATACGGTCGAATGAGTGTGGGGAAGGTTAACCTCCATTAGATGCAATTAAAAATTGGTGCCGGAAATTCCACATTCACATGGCAGGGACTAGTATGTCCGATAGGACAGTTATTATTAACTTCGCACAAAGTGGAAGCCATTTTATTCACTTTAAAGAGGATGATGGGCCGAGGAATGAATACCCCAAGCGGGAATTGAACTCACGACCAAATTTACAGTGCGGTGGGTGCTTGAACCTCGGCACGACCCGGCCAAATGAACACCCCAATAGGCTTGAGTATGTATAAATATAAAACCTTCCTCAATCCACTGCTGGATAAAGGTCTTGCCTCACCGTGTCAGAAAAGGGTGGGGGTGGGGGGGCGGTTATCAGAGCATACTTCACCACGCTGGTCATCACGGGTCGGGTGAAGAGGTTGGGGGCACGCAGGACCAGTAGCTCAGATATCACTCGCCACTGATGTTAGCCGTGGCCGGCCCGTGGACAGTGATGGCCGAATTAACAGCAGAGCACGCGCTGAACACTACTGCTACCACGCCACCCTTTAATTATTATTCCGATTTATGTCCGGTACAATTCAGTTGTCCAATTAGACGTTAATTATTACGACGTACAATACCGTCGAGTTGACCAATTATATGCGAGTTACCTTACAGAATTAAAATCTCGCGGCTGCACAGAAGGAACGCCACGATCCTCTGAGCGAGCGGCAATCAGAAATTTTGAATGTGCCAGATGCGTTTAAAAAAAAAAAACTCAAATCTCACCACCGTTGCGACATTTCCCGACCCCCCCCCCCCCCCGCCATTGTCAAGCGGTGCGACGCGAAAAGGATATTGCCACGGCAAACCTAAACTCTCGCGCCGACGGCCTCCGTCACACGCCATTCTCGTTTTGATGTCACAAAGTAATTTACGCACAGATTTTGCTATTTAAAACGGCCTCATTGCAACACCCTTTTTGTGAATCCACAGCTGCATTAAGGCCCTCCCTCCCATTATCTGCACCTGGTCAATGACAGTCGCTTGACCGTACTCGGCGACCTGAGTTCAAATCCCAGCCAGGCTATATATGTATTCGTCAGTGGCGGGCGATATCTGCGTCGGGAGTCATTCAGCCCCCCCACGCTTCATCGGCGTGCGATGACCCAACGCGGTGAAGTATGGTCAAACGATAACTCCCCAAGACCGACGAGGCATGGGGGGGGGGGGGGGGGGGTGGCTTCATCTAGTGGGCACGCTAACCAAGAGCTGTAAACATGATTATGACCTTCTGAGCGTGACTCTGGAAAACTGAAATTGCAAAAATTATTCACAGCAACCGAAAGTAAAAAAAAGATAAATAAACACACACACACAGTTGCCTTGGCATGCCCATGCAGACTTGGGAAATGAGTAAAGAAAATGTGAAACTTCATAATCAGCAAGCTTAGTCAAGTGCCATGCAAGAAGGAGAGAGGGGGGGAGGGTAACGTGTTGACAGTGTGTGCACGTGTGCGCGTATTGTGTGCGAGCGTGTGCGTTAACTTTAATCAACAACTGGGGCTTAACACCGTCCGTGTCCGCTCATTAACGGTTGAAAAGTAGCTCAGTTAATTGGGCACCTCCTCCTCCCTTTCTCAAGGTTCATCGATGTCAACGTTTCCTCCACACAAGCAGTGCGGGGCTGTGCTACTGCATTTATCTCCAATGGACTATGGATGTACGTGTGCTGAACTTCTTTCGCACCGTGCGCAGCCAACTGTGCCAATCGGAGGTGCGGGGGAAGGACAACAAACTAAACACAAAACGTAGTTCTAAAGAAATTAGTTTTCAGTCGAGGTAATTTAAAGGTGAGTGCACGGATTTCTCGACTCCGCCGAGCATCCGGTAAATGTCGAGGAGATTGTCTCGAAAACCCTGCAGTGGCTTCAGTTGAACAGCAGCAGACTAATAAAACCAAGGAGGTGTGTGACCTTGAAATTAACGAACTTACATTTTGAGCGGCACCCTATCCCGGATGTTTTGCCTACCGAAGGCACGCTTCGCGGATGATGATAATCAACCTCCCGTCCAGCGGCACATGTGGAAACAGAGGAGAGACTTTTTTTCTTCACCCCTCCCCCCCCCAAACTATTTTCGTGTTATCTGACGAGTTACTACTTACCGAATCAAATCATCTGCCTCCGAAATATTACAATCCCCTCCATAGGACAGCCAATATTGACTTACCACAAAATGGTATGAAATGCAGCAGTCCAAGAAGCTGATTGGGCTGAATATCGACGCTCCCCAGACGGGATTTGAACCCGTGGCCTTTATGGTAATGGCCTACGACAATCAGCCAACTTGAGTTTACTTTCAACGACTGTCTTGTTACTTAGATACGGGTATTTTAACCATGCAGACAATTTTTTTTTTATCTACGACGGTAACACCCATTAATTGGTGAAATTCGGCGGGCGCACGCCAATTCAATCCGGGGCATTCACTTTCAAGGCTAATTGAATGTGAATTTGACGTTACCCCGATGTTCGTCTTGAAACGACAGTCTTCCCCCCCGCACCCCCAACCCCACCCCCCCCGGATGGCGTCGCCACAAGCGTGAACAATCGCCTCTTGGTTCACCAAAGCACGAAGGCTCCCCCCCTCCCACCCCCGCCACCGCCCCCGCGCGGTTCTACTACCACCAAAGCCCACGGTGGCGAGTTTCCATTCTACCATTTTTTTTTTTGGGGGGGGGGGGGTGGGGAGGATCGCGTCAGATTTGCGTGCCGAATCTACCAGAATCCTCCAGGCGTTTGGTGCTCAAATTGGCACCAGATCCACTTCGCGCCGACGCGAATATCTGCGGCTCGTTCCTACCGGAAAAGTGTGATGAACGGCGAGCGACGGAGGAGTGTGGTGTGTGGTGTGTGTGTATATAAAAAAAACATGAACACATTTTTACAAGAGCGCGGAAATTATGCCACGGATGAGCACGGACTAAAAAAAAAGGCGAATTCCGTTGATGCCTTTCACAGTTCGGGATGAAACATGAGAAGGATTGGGTTTAGGTGGAAAAGTTATTTGTCGTTTCTTTTTGCTTAAAAGCATTTGAATCTTGCCCACTGAACGGTGGTGGTGCTGAGCCCCAGCTGTTAAAGACTGAAATGTGCGGTGCGTCTCATTCAATGGCAAGCTTCTCTGGTCCCAACTGAGCAGCTTAAGTAAAAGACAGGTCACACGTCAGGGCTTCTGCACACACACGTTAAACCAATAAAGTTTTTTTTTTTCTCCCTCTGTTAGCCAGTCTCACAAATGCGGTGCCATTAGTTTGACCGTCAGTCGTGATTAGTCGCTTTGATGTGATTAGTTTTTTTGTTAATACTTAAAAAAAATTAAATACGTTAACGTAGAGTCGCGGGAGGTGAAAGGTCACGGGCAACTTTGGTGCAAAGGATGAAGAAATCTTCCATTCGAACAAGACGACAATCTCACACGGGCACTTTACTCAGTTCGGGCGAATGTTCGTAACCGCAGGTCATATTAGGTAAAAAATATTGTTTTGGGTTCCCCCTCCCCCTCCCCCCCCCCCCCTCCCGCGAACAGACGAACATGGACCGAGGAAAATACGTCACGAAGCAAAACAGTGAGAAGAAGAGGAGGTAACAAGGCATTTGTGTCGACAGTCGAACTAAAAAGCTAACGGGATCACGTTAAGAGCGCCAAAAAAACAGAACATTTACAACTTGGCGCGTTCCGAGCAACCCGCAGTTTAAAATTTAGCGGGGCTGGGTTATAGACGGGGGGGGGGGGCGGGGGAGGAGCCCAAAACCACGCGAGAAAAAAAAACAACAGCGCAGCACCTGCAAAATGTAAACAGCGGCGATCGTTAGCGACGACGTGCAAATCGACGTCAAGTGCAAAACACAAAACACAACCTCAACGAAACGAACGAGGCGTTGGACGCTAAAACGTCCCGTACAAAAGTCCCACGTGGGGGTGCCTCTCTCTCTCTTGCAAAGCAGCCTAATGCTACCGAGCCAACGTCACCAAATTCAACTTGAACTTCTCGGCCCGCTTCAGCCGAGGCTTCAGTCGGCAGATTGCCGCAGGCTATTCCCCCATCCCGCCCCCGTAGTGCGGTCGAGGAAAGCAGTCAAACGTTTAGAGCGCGCGGTCATTCAACGCTTTTGCCCTATCACGCCCACCCCCTAATATTATACGGCGGCCAATCGGTGAGCTCAGCAAATGTCTTTTTGTTGTAGACATATACGTGACTATTTAACTATCATAGGATAGATATGTACATAGCCAAATTAACAGTCTTGCTCCTCCTCGGTGCACTGCGGCCTCTCGCAATGTGACTGAACTATCTCAGTCTGCACATTCACTCAGACACCGCGATTCACGTCTCGTCAATGATGGTGCTGATAAGACGATGAGAATGGTGGTCACGACGATGATGATGGTGGCTGATAATACTGGTGGTGGTGATGATGGTAGCGGTGATGGTAATGTTGACGATGATAATGGTAGTACTGTAGTGGTGATGATGGTGATGATGGTGGTGGTGATGACGATGGCGACGACGCTCCGTCACTAACTTCGTCACTCACGGAATTAACAACAATGCTGAGGGGTCTGGCATAGGCGTGCCCTGTGCAACACTGCCGGGAGAGAAGTGGCCCCCCTCTCTCTGTCGTCTATCGCGGCACAGGTTCCCGGGGCCGTCAGCGGCGACTGGGCGGGGCGGCCGACAGCGGCGACTGGGGGGGAGGGGGCCGTCAGCGGTAGCGCGGTGGACGACCTCTCGATGAGCCTGGGGGGGGGTGGGGAGGGTGTCCGAGATTTTTCTTTTTGCTTGCCGCGACGACGGCACGGACGACTCACCCCTTTTCCGTCGATGTTGCACGGTTTGGCGTTGAACTTCACGGTTTTTAACCGCGCCCTCTCCTTCCTTTCCACCCTGCGGGCGGACGGGCGACGGGGGGGGGCGGGGTGGGGGTAGGGGGGGGCAAACGTCCATAGGGAGGCGCGCGTTAGCGACGCCGTTAATCAGCTCGATTAAATAACCCCTCATTCAAGGCTTGGCGCGACCCGTCGCGAGCACACGTTCCGCTCAGTGGGCGATTGCTGTTGCGACTGCTCGGTTCAGGGGGCCTGCGCCGAGAACCTGCGGTAAATCGCGGAGCGCGCAAGCAACGACGGCGGGGGAATCAGCCGCCGCTGGGCCGAACGCCCGCGGCGATTTGCGTCGCGAACGTGCAACGCTCCGTACGTTGAACTTCTTTCGCACCGTACGTAGCCAGCAGAGGGTGAACGGACGGGATTGTCCATGGGTCTAGAGCAGCGGTTCTCAATCCGGGGTGCACGCACCCCCTGGGGGTGCGAGATGCCCTTTCTGGGGGGTGTGCGAGACACGGACAGATTTTTTTTTTTATATAGAAGGTAAATCATCGAAAAGGCGAATTGAGCACGGGCACGTAAGTACAACTACTTTGTTGCATAAAACCCTAAGTATTTGTTAACATTATACATTTTGTTCACGATGGAGAGAACCAAAGGGGTGCCAGGCTACAGTAAAGGTTAAGAACCAATGGCCTAGAGGAACATGTGCAGCGGTCCCTTGCTTTTGTCAATCCACTGCAGAATGAGGGCTTCCCTGGCAAAGGGTTCATGAGGTATGGAGCAAGCTTATACTTAAAGCAGAGCGAATAACCAATTGGAACAATTACAAAAATCACGACATTAATTAATCATCGTAATTGACAGCCCTTCCGTCAATCCACTGCTGGATGAAGACCTCCCCCGCCAACGCCGTGCCGTTCACGGAGAGGCTGTCTGGCCATACTTCACCACGCCGGCGAAGGCGGCATGGTGAAGACGGCCGGAGGAGCTGAGGACCGGCTGGGATATCCGATGTTAGCCATACCCCGGAGAAAAAAAAAAAACTAATGGTGGTCACGGCGCAGTTACACTACCCGCTTCACCTAACGACCTTCGCGACAACCGCTCCCCGCCACAACCGCTCCCCGCCACAACCGCTCCCCGACCCAGCGGCGGCACTGGCCGCCCTCGCTAGAGGAACACGTGTGGCACACACGTGGCACACGGGCAACGGAGACGCACGTGTGCGCCAGTGGGATTAATGCGGCAGCGATTCCCGCAGCTGCGGGTGGAAGGGTGGGGGCAGGGTATGCGTCAGTCACGGCGGCTAGGAGATGTTAACTACCTCGCCTGGTATACAGGAGGTCGTGGGTTCGATCCATATCCTGACGCCTGCTGTATATTTAAAGTTTGCGTGCCTCTCTCTCTCATCATCATCACGGTGGCTAGGAGATGTTAACTACCTCGCTTGGTATGCAGGAGGTCGTGGGTTCGATCCCGACCCTGACGCCTGCTGCTGTATATTTGGAGTTTGCGTGTCTCTCTCCACGCGTGGTCGCGTCAATTGTTCTCCAGGTCCTCCGGGTTTTCCCCTCCACAATTTAGAATCAGAGTATTTGGCTGCTGCTATAAATGCCCACGTGATGATAAGCCGCCACTCCGTCGAGCTGTCGCCTGTGATGGCCAGGGTCGCTTCTGAGAAAGAGCTACGTAGCTCAGTGGGGCCCTTACCTGGTAAAATGCAAAGTCAATAAATCACTGCCTCTAAAAACACCGCAGCAGCGCTGACTCACGCCGTGACGCGCGGCAGCCAAAATCAAATTAGGATTTTCATTTTATTTTGTTCCCTTCCCAAAGACCCGCGAGTGATGCGTTGGGTTTTATTTCTCAATATTATTGTTGTTCTTCTTGTTTTTGTTTGACATCAACAGCGTATGTTCCGGGGCACTTTATTATTATTGCAATTACGATCGCGCGAAGTGTGCGTGCTAGGTGATAACCAGTTACCGTAGATTTGACCGTGCGCTAGGTGTGCTATGACCCCGCAGGCTTCGTGTTTGCATCACGATGCACCGACGAGATGATAATTGTTGTTTTACATGTCGTGGCGCCATTTGTGCAAACACAACAATAACAGTTGCTGCCATTCACCACAACGTGCCAGGAACATTATCGCATGCGCACTAATACACTCACAAAACACGCACACTCGTTTTAACACACTCAAACTCATCCGTACACACAATCACCAATTCACTCACTCACCCAGCTAGTCACTCACCCGCCAACACGCAACCACCCACCCACACGCACCGACTCATCGACTCACCCACCCATCCACCCACGCACTGGCAAACCGACGAACCCAAACCCACCCACGCACCGACCCACCCACAAACCCACTCACTCGTCGACTCACCCAGTCACCGAGCAACCCAGGAACCCACCCAAATCCACTCACCCAACCACACAAACCCACCCACATACACACCGATCCACCCACCCACTCACCCACTAACTTACCGACCAACACCCCCCACCCCACTCTCCCGCCCAGTCACCCACGTACCCACGTACCCACCCGATCGCCCACCGACCCACCCAGCCGCACCTGCGCTTGCTGGGGATGACCCCGATCTCGTCCGAGTCACCGCCGGCTGTGACGCGCCGCGCCTGCCACCATTCGTCGTCCGAGGCATTGGTCACGTGCAGGATGTCCCCGTACTTGAAGCTCAGGCCCTGGCTGGGCAGCCCGCTGTCACGCGTCTTGTCATAGTCGAACAGCGCCCTGCGAGCACAGCCGCGCGCCGGATTAGACAAACAAGCACGCACGTGCTCAAACTCACCCGTACATACAACCACTGGTTCACTAATTTAAAGTTTATTGTTTTAAAAAAAAAACTGACATCTAAAGATCGGAGCGACTTCGGCCTTTGCAGCTAATGCCGAGCGTTTCAACGCGCGAGCATTGTCCGTCAGCCTTCCCGTAACGGGGCGGGAACAATAAATCTCAGAAAGAGGATGCCAATATGAACAAAACGCCAGTATAGAGTGGTGTTATTACGGAACACTTGCCTTGTCAAACACTGTGGCTAAATTGATCAGAAGCTTGACCAAAACGTAGAGAAAAGCAGCAGCACTAAAAGCGACCTGGCCACAAATGAAAGCTCAACGAAGTGGCATATCACGTGGAAATTTATGGCAGTCAAATACTCCTAAATGCACGTCGATTCTAAATGTGGAGTCGAAAAACCGGAGGACCCGGAGAAAATTCCACGCGACGACAGGGAGAGAGACACGCAAACTCCAAATATACAGCAGCAGGCATCAGAGTCGGAAACGAAACCAACGACCTCCTGTATACCAGGCGAGGTAGTTAACATCTCCTAGCCACCGTGATGATGATGAGAGAGAGAGACACGCAAACTCCAAATATACAGCAGCAGGCATCAGAGTCGGAAACGAACCGACGACCTCCTGTATACCAGGCGAGGTAGTTAACATCTCGCCACTGTGGTACCCCTTGCCAGGTTGGGGAGGGGGCAAAACATAAAATCGAACACAAACACTGAGATGTTGTACGAGAGACGAAGTTGGACATTGCTGTGCGCGCGTTGTCGTAAACGGGAGACCCGCAGTAAGTGTCCACACTTGACAACCGTACAGTGATGTCATTCAATCATTCACAGGTGTTGGCCACTAGCGGCGCAAACACAGCACCGTGCGGATGCCCGCTGGCAAGGCGTTTTATTTGTTCGGTGGCCAGCTGGCACGATGGATCAGGATGCCGGGCTGGCGCCGCCGAGATCCAGGCTTGCAACCGGGGTTTTGGCGGCACAACCGTGGCGATTAAACCGGGCCTCGAGCGCCATTCCCCCAGCGAGTCCCGTTCACCCAGCGACTCGCAGAATCCGAATCTTTATTCAGACCGGAGGAGGAGGAATCCGATGAGCGGCCACGAAGCTATTTTCTCACAGACGCCCCCCTCCCCCCTCCTTACGGGCCCCCCCCCCACCTCCCCCCGGTCCCGTGACTCGTGAGGACCGAGCGCGTTTTGCTGGTAGGGCAACGATAAAAAATAGACCACGAGCCTCCGCCACCACCGCCATCTCCGCACAACCACAACCACGAACGACGGGGAGCAGCCGTGCCGCCGGTTACGTTATCATCGCCCCCTCCGCGGCCGCACACGGCGCTCCCGACGAGAAGCCGCCGCCACCCCCCCCCCCCTCGCCTCCCGGAGCGGCGGAGTCTCCGCGGCTGTGCAGGCCAGCCTGCGTTCTGCGTTTACCCGCGACGTCAGCCCTGCGTTTACCCGCAGGGCTGGCGTGGTCGCCGTCGGGACGACGGTTTAAAGCGCTTTAACTTTTCCCGAGAGCACCGGGGGGGCGGGCGGGCGGGGCGGGGCGGGGCACGCCGTCGTTTTTCGGGAATTAACGTCACGCCGCTCAAATGTCGGCTCCTCGCGGTGACAGCGGAGGAGAAAATAAATAAAATATAATAAAGGAGCTTTCTCCTGAAATCAAAGCGTGGCCCTCCCCCACCTCATCCAATGGCGAACTGAAACCCCCACTTTGTCTTAACGGGATATTTTTTTTTATCCGTCTGAAAAGTGTCACGGTGGTGTCTTTTATTGGGAGCATTAGCGGCCGGCTTGGAGCGCCGGACTCTTGTGTATTAATCGGCCCACGCGTCGCCAACACGAAGGTTTATTTTATAAAAAAAACAGCACCGTCCGTGCGATTGCGGAACGACAACGCCTTGAAGAGAGTGGTGGCGGCTGGCGACAAATGCCCGTTGGAATTCGGGCCCGTGTATAGTACACCTACTTCGCTTACTCAAACACCGAACACATGTATACATAGATGGTTTTTTTTTTAATCACTGCACCCTACAGCAAAACCTTGGATTGCGAGTAACTTGGTCTGCGAGTGTTTTGCAAGACGAGCACATTTTTTAAAGTAAATATTAATTTGATAAACGAGCGAGGTCTTGCAATACGAGTAGTACGTATACGCTTTGTCTGCCGAGCGTCACGTGGTCACAACTGAGCCGATGGTTCTTCTCTCGCTCTCGCTGCAGGATTGTGGGTAATCGTCTCCCATGCTCGGTTTCAGTCGGCGTGCCTCACTCATATATAGTGAACATCCGTGCGACCGTATACTGTTTAATATAGCGTTGTGACCACGTGTGTGTGCGTAAAGCATTTTTTTTAAATTTTGTGTCCAAATGTAGTGACTGTTCTTTAGTAACTGGACTGCAACAATGGCCCCCATGAAGAAAAAGGTTGAATCCCTCACTTCAAATGAGATTAGGGAGGTGTGTAAAATGTGGGAAACAGTTCAAAATTTTGTAGAAAAGCACCATCCAAATAAGGCTGTAGCAGTGTGAGTGATGAATCTGTTTAACGACAATGCAATGTCAAATCCTCAAAAGGAGGCAAAAGCAAGTGTCATTGGATAGGTTCCTTGTTAAAGTCACACAAAAAGAAAAAGATTCCAGTGAGCCAACAGATGGCAGTGATTCCGTTAGTGACAGTGAAAGTCGTCCTACACAATAACCCTCCTCCTCCTCTCCACTCTCTCGTCTCCCTCACACCAGCCACGATTACATTTAATCAATAAATTTGAATACTTTATATTAAATTAAAATAATAAAAATATAAAAAGGTATTTTGCTTTAATCATTTTTACATGAATATTTTTGGGTTGTGTTTCCATTATTTCTCATGGGGAAATTCGCTTTGATTTCCGATTGCTTTGGACTACAAACACGTTTCCAGAACGAATTATGCTCGCAATCCAAGGTTTTACTGCATTTGTTAAATCCGTCTTCGCACCGAATCACCTTGCACATACCCAATGATCTCATCAGAACTCGCAAGCCAAGCAGGTTTTTTTCAGCCTGCATGGACAGTGCTTGGTTTGGGCAGGTGAACCAAAAGTGCGTACCAGGTGTTATAGGCTGCTGCGTGCGAGGCTGATCAGAAACTTTGTGAGTTTGGTCTTCACCATACAGGTGTGTGGAAACAAGTCATGCCACGATCAAAATACATCTCTGAGGACCTCAGAAAAAGAGTTGTTGATGCTCATCAGTCTGCAAAAGGATTACAAAACCATTTCTAAGGATGTGGGGGCCCCACCAATCCACTGTCAGACAGATAGTCTACAAATGGATAAAGTTCAAGACCACAGTCACTCTACACAGGAGCAGTCGTCCTACCAAAATATCTCCAAAACAAACCAGAAAATCATCAAGGAAGTCACAAAAAACCCCAAAGAGAATCATCCAAAGGTCTGCAGGCCACTCTCGCCTTGGCTAATGTGAGCGTTCATGATTCGACTGTCAGAAAAAGACGAAGCAAGAATGGTGTCCATGGAAGGATAAGCAAGGAGAAAACCACTGCTCTCCAAAAGGAAAATTTCTGCCCATCTGAAGGTCACCAAAGAGCACATCGATGATCCACAAGGCTTCTGAAACAATGTTCTCTGGACAGACGAGCCAAGGGCAGCGCTTTTCGGCCTCAATGAGAAATGTTACGTTTGGGGAAAACCAAACGCTGCTTTCGAACAGAAGAACCTCATCCCAGCCATCAAGCGTGGTGGTGAGAATGCAATGGTTTGGGGGCTGCTTTGCTGCCTCAGGACCTGGATGGCTCGCCATCACTGACACAACAATGAATTCTGTATTGTATCGGAGGATTCTAGAGTTGAATGTCAGGCCGTCCGTCCGTGAGCTGAAGCTGAACCGAAAGCAAGTCTCTCGCAGCAAGACAACGATCCGAAACCTACAAGCAGATCTACAAAAGAATGGCTGCAGAGGAAGAAATTATGCGTTTTAAAATGGCCTAGTCAAATCCCGTACCTAAACCTCATCGCAAATGTTTTGGTCGAACCTGAAGCGAGCTGTACATGGCAAGGCAAACCTTCAAATGTCACAGAGTTGAAGGAGTTGGCCAAAATAACTCAAATCCGAAGGTTGCAGGAAACGCTTAGTTGCAGTCATTGCTGCTCGAGAGGGTGTCACAAGTTACTGAATCTAAAGGTTCACATACTTTTAGACACGTCCTTATAGTGGATGTAGAATCATTTGAGAATAAACACATGTTGAAAGAGCATCATGTTTTCGTGTCATTTGTTTAATCAGCTTATCTTTCTCTATTATTACGACTTGGATTAAGATTCTGAATAACATTTTAGATTTGAAATATATCAAAACATGTGAAAATCCAAAAGAGTTGACGAACGTTTTTCTCGGCACCGTACCACATCTCCATCTGATTTCACCGCAACTCCAACTCAGCTCTGTACCTCCCCCCCCCCACCGCTTCTCTCATCTCGCTACACCTCTTGTCCCTCACGTCTTGCTACATCTCGCGCGCAAAATTATCTCATCTTTGCCCTGCACCTTTGCGAGGTCAGTTTAACAAGTAGGCTTTCGCGACCAATATCATCCATGATACAGGTGTTTTTTGGGTTAGATCGCGCAAACAGTCATTTAGACGATCTAAACCGTCATTTACGCGATCTAACCTAAAAAGCCTGTATGATGGATCTTTACAAGGTATTTTAGGCATTGAAAAAACAGACAACAACAACAACCGCCATTTGCCACTAAGTGGCGGTGACGTCACCACGACGCTTGTGCCAGGCTATCTGCACCTTGAGGCCACGTGAAGCGTAAAGGAGAGACAGACACACACACATCCCAAAATAATTTCTGCTTGGGAGCCCAAATACACCTTCACCACACCACATCATCACCGATCAACATCGCGAGTGACGGCAC